CGCCGTGCTCTGGCTCGAGGCCAAGGACATCTGGGATTCCGACGTCCTGATCCGGAGCAACAACCAGGGCGTCATCGCAGCCATCGGCAACGGCAAGAGCCGCAACTTTCAGGTCAACCTCGTGATCCGTCGCCTCGAAATGGTATGCATGACCAGGAACATTCGGCTACACCTAGAATATGTTGAGTCGGCCATCAACATCGCTGATCACGTGTCTCGCGGTGCGCCAAGCAGCCTCCCCCTTCTCACACCCTTCCCCCTGCCGCCAGAGATCAGCATCTTCCTCGCGTACCATGCCTAAAGCAGTGCGAAAGAAGACCGCGCCCGCACGTGCGAGCGCGTCCGGCAAGGGGAGATCTACGCGACCTGGAGGCATCGGAACCTCTGCGCGCGCGACCTCACCACGAGCCCTAGCCGGACGAAAACCCAGAAAACCGAGACCCGAGAACGTGATTGCCCCTTCACCCTTCAGACCTTTCGTGCCCGCAGAAGACCGACTAGCGAAGTGGTCCGCCCCAGGAGCGGACGCGCTCGAAAAAGATTTGCTGAAGATTGTATCCTGCGACCAGCTCGAAAACGTATACATGATAGCGCTAGCGAAACTGGAAAACACGACGAGAAAAAACTATGGCGCCAGACTTCTGCGCTTCCATCAATACTGTGACAAACAGAACATACCTGAGATCGCGCGTTTCCCCGCACCTGACATTCTCTTGGCATCCTTCGTCGTGAACCACGCGGGCTCTGTAGCGCGCACGACGATCGACAACTGGATCGCGGGCCTGGGTTTCTGGCACACCCTACATGGCGCACCCTGGCATCTCGCCGACATGCGGCTCCTCAAGTCCGTGTGCGACGGGGCGTCCAAGCGCGCGCCCGCGGCAAACGCGCCGCGCGCGCCGGTCACGGTGGCGCACATGGAGGCGCTTCTGAAACAACTGGACCTCGTGAACACATTCGACAGCGCCGTGATGGCAGTGGCATGCTGTGCCTTCTGGGGCTGTCGCCGGTAAGACTCACGCACTCGCGCGCATCTCGAGCTCACGTCGCGCAGACTGGGAGAGCTCATCATCCCATCAGCCGGCGCTGCCAAAGCGGACAGACATGTGTCTCGCAGCGCCACAGTCGAGCGTGGGATCACCGCCGCAGGCACTTTCGCTTGGTTCGCCATTCCGTGGATGAAGACAACCAAAAAACAAGGCGCGAAAGTGGTCCTCCGCGACGTCGAGGTAGAACCCAGGCCATCATGGGCGCTACTGCACCACCTATACATGAACGACTCAATCCCGGGGCACGCGCCCCTCTTCAGCTTCGAAACGGGCGGCGGGGGCTGGGCGCCCATGACGCGCGATCTGTTCCTGAACAGATGCGCGGCGGCTTGGCAGGCGGAAGGCCTCGCGTCCCTCACGGGGCACTGCTTCCGCATCGGCGGGACTACCGAATGGCTGATGCGCGGAACAAACCCGGACATTGTCGCGGCGCTTGGGGGGTGGCAATCCCGAGCATTCCTAAAGTATTGGCGAAACATAGAGTGCATACTCCCCTTACACATGTCCCAAAAAACTGACACTGCACGCGTCCTTGTAGCAAACGAGTCCATAAGCGCCTGGAAGAAACGCACTAATCATTAACTTGCACTCGCTGCTTGGGCGAGCCGCGCTTCGGGATCGCGACTGTTGGTGCTCGTTTTGGGCGAGTCGCTCTCCCTCGCGGGAAGGGCGGGAGCGTATCCACTCGCGGATCGACGGGAGTCAAGCGGGGTGGGATAGGACCGGGAGGGGACGCGACCTCTGATCGCGTCGTGCCTAGCTTCGGCACGATACCCTCCGGGCGAGCGCTCCGCTTTTCCCATCCCACGATCTAGCATGTGACATGTGGGAATCTCTACATTCCCACAAGGCTCATGTGACCTATCTACTCCCTAAGGCCTAGTCCTCCAGGCAAGACACGCGATTAGGAAGCCGGCACCGCTATGGTGCAGTTCATCTAGATGCCACTACTTTTGAACAGCTTATGTAATCAGTCACGTGGCGGCAATAGCCAGAGTCGATTTTTGAGGCATGGTCCTGGAGCTGAAAACGGCCAATAGCGGGTGTCTACACATGTATAGGATGTCAAATTGGACCAAATAAAAGGGTCTGAACATCATCATCGACGTACTCCAGCCTCAAGGTGAATGGCACTCCCTTATTGAGGGCAACCAAGTAGGCTTCAACAGTGCACAGACCGACTGGAAGCCATCAATAATATTGTCAAACTGTCCTGCAAGGATTGCTAACCATACTATCTATGCATCTGCTTTGGAACTCTGCAGCAAAGTGAGGAGGGTGTACTACTCCTGATTAGATTGTCAGTATTAGATATTGGCGCTTAACGCATCACATGATTGCATTAGTCATCCATCAGCACGTGTGGCAATAGTGAGAAGATGAACTTCCTCAAAACTGGGAATTTCGACAAACCCTCTTGGGGATTTGTTCAGACAGCGAAAAAAGAGTGATTGGCTAGAGAACTAAGAAATTGGATGTTTATTAAACGCTCCCGAAGCGCTGTACAAAAGTAGTAGTGTCTAGATGAACTGCACCATACATCAGCTTACGGGCCAAGCGGAATGGATGTGGGGGACGGAACAGCGGGACGCATTCAGAGCGCTGAAGATGGCAGTGATGTCAGTGCCGGTCCTCTGCATCCCGAACGATCATGATCGCTTCCGGGTCGCTTGCGACGCTTGCGACTATGCGATCGGGGCCGAGCTCTCACAGCTGCAGGACGGGAAATGGCGCACTATCGCGTACCTGTCCAAGTCACTCTCGCAGCCGGAGCGAAACTACCAGATCTACGACCGGGAGCTACTTGCAGTGATGACGTCGTTGGATGAGTGGCGGCATTTCCTGATGGGGGCGCGGCAACAGTTCGAGATTCACTCAGATCACAAGAATCTCGAGTTCTTCCGCAAGCCGCAGCGCCTGAACCCTCGGCAGGCAAGATGGGTTGTAGAGCTGCAAAACTACGACTTCACGCTCACACACCGCCCCGGGTCCACAATGGGAAAGGCAGACGCGCTGTCGAGATGCGTTGATCACGGAGATGAGCCGACCGGGCCGGCGACAGTGGTGGTGCTGCAGGAAAGATGGTTCCTCCGCGCGCTACCTGTGGTACCTGGCACGGAGTCACTTGTAGCCAAAATCCGTGACGCGCAAGCATCACTGGACAACTCCGTAAGGAACAAGCTTGCAGCAGGGGACCCGGAGTACACGACCGAGGACGGTCTGGTCTGGAGGAGGGGGAGGATAGTCATACCGGTGATCAAAACGTTACGCGGTGACGTCATCACGGCTCATCACGACTCGATCACGGCTGGACACCTGGGCCGATCAAAGACGCAGGAGCTCACTCAACACTCCTACTGGTGGCCGTCGATCCGTCGTGATGTACAGGCATATGTGAAGGGATGCGCGATCTGTCAGCGCACCAAGATAGATCACCAGCCGCGTGCTGCACCCCTACACCCGAGCGCAATCCCGGACCACAACTACGAGAATATCAGTATCGATATGATCACGCACTTGCCGGAGTGTCAGGGGAAGAACGCGATCCTCATGATCTGCTGCCAGAAGTCAAAAGATTTCATCCCCGTCGCGATCTCGGATACATTGACGTCAGAGGGATGGGTGAACGTGCTGATACGAGAGTTTGTGGCGCTACACGGACTGCCAAAGAAGATCACAAGTGATCGTGGACCCACGTTTGTCTCGCAACTCACACGCAACCTGTACCGCAAGCTCGGTATCAAAGGGAATCCAAGCACTGGATACCACCCCCAGACAGACGGGCAGACCGAGCGCCTCAACCAGGAACTCGAGAACTATCTACGTATCTTCCTCAATTACCGTCAAACAGACTGGGTCGACTGGTTACCTCTCACGGCATACTCATATCGCCTACGCGAGCACTCGGCAACGGGATACTCCCCATTCTACTTCTACATGACACACGGTCGACACCCTTACACGGGAGTAGAGACTCATCGCTCGGTGAAGACGGAGTCGGTCACGCAGTTCGTGGAGAGGATGAAGTACATTCAGGAGGAGGCAGGGGCGGCGCTAGAGATAGCAAACGAGACGATGAAGAGGAAGTGGGACAGGCGGAAGGGCGAGGCGCACGAGTACTGGGCCGGCAATTGGGTGTACCTGGACTCGTACAACATCACCACGGAGCAGCCACGCAAGAAGTTAGAGGACAAGCGCTACGGGCCCTTCAAAATAGCGGAGAAGATCGGCACAAGCGCATACAAACTCCTGTTGCCAAAGGAGTGGCGATCCATTCACCCCGTCTTCAATGAAACCCTTCTGACTCCCGCGCACGCACCCACCTTCCAGAACCAGGTCCAGGACATGCCCATACCACAAATAGTCGCTCGAGACGATGCTGTCGAGTACGTGCGCGATGTACGCCCGGAGCGCGGATCCCTCAAATACCTAGTCAAATGGGTCGGGAAGTCGCTCAATCGCGGAGTCGACTTGGGAGCCGAAGTCCAGGATCCCTCCGGCGCTTCTCTCCGATTTCTACCGCGAACACCCAGACGCAGTGTGCATGCCGACCATCAGGCTTCCCGCGCCTGTACGCACGATCACCCAAACCCACGCGGCGTCATGGATTAATCGCGAGGACGCGATGCGTAGGGGGGGGGTGATGTTACGGTCACTTTGCGCGCCTAGACCATCGCGTGCTCGGAGCGCTCACGGACCGTCTCGCGTAGATTATCACGCCCAAGCCAAGGGCAGCACGCGCGAGCAGCCACTCACGCGTGCATCATCGCAGCCTTTGTATTCTCCTCGTGGTACTGTACAGTAGTTGATCTACCTATATATACGCCACAGGAGCTGGGGACGCACCCCAGCTTCAAGTTGGTACGTTTACCACCACCTTTCGTGCGCTTCGCCCGGAAGATTCCCACGCTCAGCGCCCGCTACAGGTGAAGCCGTATCACTCCAGCTGCAGCAGTGGAGTGCGAACGCATCTTCTCATCCAGCAAAGAGACCATCACACCTCGTCGAAATCATCTGACAGCAGACGTAGTGGAGGCTCTGCAGGTGCTGAAGTATGGGTTCAACCATTCAGTTCTTGTTTCCTATGCCATATCATCGGAGGACGAGGAGACAAGGTTGATGAAGGAAGATGCAGAGGTTTGTGACATAGAGCATGCATAGTTATAGGATGCATGGAAGTATGGAGCTGCACACGTATTTCAATTGGAGTTGCTCATCCAGGACCAGACAGTAACAGTTTAGTGATCACCACGGGTCACCCCCGGGTATTTTTGAGTCGACCCAGACCCGGACCCGCGAAACCCGGACCCGTGGGCTCACAGGTCAGAGTCGGCGCTCACATGCACGCGTATGGCTTGCATGAGTCGTGAGCCGCAACTCCCTTCTTCCCCGTTTCCGCCTCTGTTCTCCTTCCTCAATCCCAGCCCCGCACGGCGTATACCCCCTCTACCGCAAGCTCGCTGAGTACGCCACCCAACTTTGGGGACCGCGTCTGCATCACCGAGCCCCGTCGCCCTCGCCGCCAAGCCCCTCCGAGTCGTCGCCTTCGTCAAGAACCAAAGCTTCGAGCTCCCGCCCCCGGCGCCCTCCTCATCTACCGCGCTGAGGCGGAGGAGTTCTAGTTCCGTGGGCCGACGATGCGCTGCCCACCCACCTGTGCATGGCCACGTGGACTGGCATGCGGCGCTGCCAGATCTTGTGCGGGGATGGGAGGACGACTGGCAGGTGTGGAGCGACCACGGCGGACGAGCATGAGTGCGCAGGGGCGGGCTACTACCTCGTGAGTTTCTCTCGTCTTCTGTGACCTCTTTCGATGCTCACGCTCACACCCGAACGGTGTGGGACCTGAATGTAGACTGGCACGCACTCGTTGTGCGCTCGTACATGTTCGATGCGAGGCTGGTGTACCCGCCGTTCTCGCCCCCCTCCCGGCCCCCCTACCCTGCAAGCACCAATCCATGTCCCCCACCTAGCCCCTCTCGTTCTGGGAGCCGAGCAACGCAATGGACAAGGACGCGCTGAATGCGTACTGCCCCCAATTCTTCCCGGATACGTAGGACTAGGAGACAGACGGGGCACAAAGGTCGCTATTCTTGTATGCGTTCTACTTCTATGTCACCTCTGCGCTTATTTTACACTGTGCAGATGACCGGGCGCAACACGCTTCGAGTCCTCCAAGTTTGCCTCGCCCGCACCAAGCAAGTCCCGGCGCTCCAGTTCTGCCAGGTCTGCCGACATATGCCTGTTCGTGATGTTCTTTGGGTCGCTCGAGCTGCGCACGATCAATCACTTCGCTGTTTACCAGCGCGGCTCACGGACCTCGCGAACAGGCAGCGGTCGCCAAGTGAGGGCATGGGACGCGCCCACATGTCCCGCCTTCCTCGACGCGTAACGAGCGACCTGCGAGGGGTGTATATTTGCGACGATGATCCGTGTCGTCACACCTGGCAGGCTTCGGCTCCTCGTCAGTATAAATTCTCACTCTTCGCAGAGAGGGCCCCTTCGACATCCGGCGACCTCGACATTCCAACACCGCGAAGACCTCGACGATGACCAAGCTCTCCACCACGTTCGCGGCCCTCGCTGTGCTCCTCCCCGTCGTGCTCGGCCGGGCGGCAGAGCGAGGCCAATGTGGTGGGATCGGCTGGAGCGGCGCGACAACCTGCGTCTCCGGTACGGTCTGCACCGTCCTCAACCCCTGCTACTCGCAGTGTCTCCACGGATCCGTAAGTGCTTCCCCAGTCGTCTTCTCTCTGTGCGTTGCTGAAAATGTTCATCTCGATTTTGTCCAGGCATCGTCTACGCCCCCGACAACAACCACTGGTGGCTCGACCCCGACGTCACCTCGACCGTGACCAGCTTGAACAAGCTCGCCCAGGCGGTGGGGAAGAAGTACTTCGGGAGCGCGACTGACAACCCAGAGCTGACCAACACGGCGTACGTCGCCATCCTGAGCGAGACGAGTGAGTTCGGGCATATCACTCCTGGGAACAGCATGAAGTGGGTGCGTGGCGACGTTCTCGTTTCATCGTCTTTCTTCATTGCTATTATCCATTGAGCATAGGCTGACAATCACCGACAGGACGCGACCGAGCCGAGCCGGGGCACGTTCACGTTCACGAACGGCGATGTCGTTGCAAGGCCGCGCTCACGACGGTGTATTTCGCGAGTGCAGGTGCACGTCCCAGCGACGTTGGTGACCTGAACGCCAAGGACGGCAGCTGTGCTCGCGCTCCTGGGCACGCAGGTGTGGGCACGCTCTCGTGCTTCCCCCTTCCCTTGTCTTGCATTGGGCTGACAGTGAGGACAGTGTGGGACGGTGGTGGTGCACTATGTGCACAGCGTGCGCGCGACGTACGCGGTGCTTGCCACACTCATCGCCCCGCAACTCACCTTCAATGTGCTCGTGGTGCGTGCCATCGCGTTCCACACGCTCAACCACCAGCGTGCAGGCATCGCATGGAAGGCGTTCTGCACCAGCCTCGACGGCACCTGTGGTTACCCCAAATGTAATACAATACCCCAGGAACCTGCAAAACTCGTTTTGCTAATCCCCACCACGTTGTCATTGTACTATATACTCACTAGGGCATTGTAATAGGCCCTAAGTCTAATGAAAGAGCGTCCCCAGCCTTGTAATAAGTCAATATCATAATGAAAAGTGTTCCCAGAGCTGTAATAAGTCACAATTCTAATGAAAGAGCATCCTCAGAGCTGTAATAAGTCAATATTCTAATGACAGGAACCTCCCAGCCTTGTAATAAGTCTATATTCTAATAACAGGGGCCTCCCAGAGTTGTAATAAGCCCCGTTTCTAATGACAGCATGTCCCTAGGGCTGTAATAAGTTAATATCTTAATGAAAAAGTGTTTCCTTCTTTGTAATAAGCCTTGTCTCTAATGAAAAAAGTTCCCCAGGCTTGTAATAAGGCCATATCTTAATGAAAAGAGTTCCCATGCCTGTAATAAGTCAATATCCTAATAACAGCAGCCTCCCAGGGCTGTAATAAGTAGATATCCTAATGACAACAGCCCCCCAGGCTTGTAATAGGTCCCGTTTGTAATGACAGAACATCCCCAGGGTTGTAATAACTCACGTCAGATACTGTCCAGCTATTAATAGCTTCATATCATGGCCGGCCTGGCCAGCTATTAATACCTGGTATACAGGTACCCTACCCTGCCCTGCAGCCCCCCAATTGGGTGAATAGCAGCTGCCTACAAGATAGCTATCAATAGCAGTGGATAGCAGCAGGTTCCTGCAGCTGGAATAGGGTGTAATAGCTGGTTCCCACACGTAAACAGTAGGGGTTGCACAGCTGGGTGGGATAGGAAAATAGCCAGGCACTATATATGGATCAAAAGAGGCATCATGTAGCTTCCAAACGCATCCAAGAGCATGCCATTCGGAGCAGTATTGGTGGAGATGCAGGTGTACCCCTGTTTTTGCTGATGGGCACATCCACTAGAATTGGGAATTGTGGATGGATCCCCTCCGTTCTTTTGCATGGTGTGTGGTTCTCTCTCCAATAAATGGGATTGAAGTCCGACCGCGAAACGATGCACACAATCTGTATTAGATCGCTGATTACGCTTCAGCCACAGCACTTTTGATGGCTTTATATCTCTGCACCACATTCCCCGATAAGCATTTGGTTTGTTGCAGTCTCTTACATACGCATATGAAAACACGCTCTGGGTGTCATTTGGACGTGAAACACTCTGAACATGTCCCTGCGCATCTGCGCACATTCAACACCCCTTCATTCATAGCTCCACAACCGTTGCTCCGATCGCCACGCTGCTTGCTGCAGTACGTGCATTCTCTACTGCCTAAACTGATACAACTCTCGGAACTGTTATCATTGATAGCTATCTTGTAGGCAGCTGCTATTCACCCAATTGGGGGCTGCAGGGCAGGGTAGGGTACCTGTATACCAGGTATTAATAGCTGGCCAGGCCGGCCATGATATGAAGCTATTAATAGCTGGACAGTATCTGACGTGAGTTATTACAACCCTGGGGATGTTCTGTCATTACAAACGGGACCTATTACAAGCCTGGGGGGCTGTTGTCATTAGGATATCTACTTATTACAGCCCTGGGAGGCTGCTGTTATTAGGATATTGACTTATTACAGGCATGGGAACTCTTTTCATTAAGATATGGCCTTATTACAAGCCTGGGGAACTTTTTTCATTAGAGACAAGGCTTATTACAAAGAAGGAAACACTTTTTCATTAAGATATTAACTTATTACAGCCCTAGGGACATGCTGTCATTAGAAACGGGGCTTATTACAACTCTGGGAGGCCCCTGTTATTAGAATATAGACTTATTACAAGGCTGGGAGGTTCCTGTCATTAGAATATTGACTTATTACAGCTCTGAGGATGCTCTTTCATTAGAATTGTGACTTATTACAGCTCTGGGAACACTTTTCATTATGATATTGACTTATTACAAGGCTGGGGACGCTCTTTCATTAGACTTAGGGCCTATTACAATGCCCTAGTGAGTATATAGTACAATGACAACGTGGTGGGGATTAGCAAAACGAGTTTTGCAGGTTCCTGGGGTATTGTATTACATTTGGGGTAACCACAGGTGTCGACGGTGCGTCCCATCGCCTCCTCCTCCTCCTCCCTCGCTCCCACACTGACTCAGACCCTTGTCGTCGTCAGAGGACGGCACACTACAAAGCGCCACGCCGCCCGCCGTCCCCGGCCCCTCGGCCGTCCATGCATCCCCACCAACCCTACCCGCCCCCCCCCCCCCGGGTCCGCGTGCACGCACCGCACGCTCGGCGCGCCCTTTCATGCGCTCTTCCCACCTGGGAGCCTGTCGGACGTGCAGATCATGCGCATGCTCGCCACGTTCGCGCGCGACTAGTATGTGCTGTGGCCTGCGCCCGTGGGGCTCGGATCAGGGTCGGGGGTGGTCGTCGCGCCGCACGCGTACATGCAGACGTTGCCGTGAGTGCTCGCCTGTGGGGGCATGCGCACCGGCGAGCTCCGCCCGTCGCCTTCGCCTTCTTGCGAGGGGCGTGTGGGGTGGCGATTACATCCTGTGCAGGATTTGTGCGCGCATTCCGTGCGGCCCTTGTTTCCCCACCCGTATATGCTCCCTTCTGATTTAAATCAATGCTATGTATTATACGTATAATGTACCCCAAGCCCACGGGTCACCACGGGTTCCCGAGGGTTCACCCTACGCATCAGGAAAAACACAACTTGCTAATTGGGTCTAAGTTGAACTAATTAGTGCAACTTAGACATATTAGAGGATCTTCACTAATTAGTGAAGTCCCTGGAAGTTTAGAGCCAATTAGTCCTAATTAGCTCTAATTAGTGTCTAACCAGTGTCTAATTGCTGCAATTGTGGAGGTCTGTAGAACTAATTGACACACAGTAGGCATGTATCAAGCTCATAATATGTTTCAATATCACTCAATAGATCACACAAATGTGAAGGAGAAGCAGATATATTCTTGTTCATAATACTACAAGGTACACAGTAGACTACAAACAAAGATGCTGAACAAAGTCTGTGGGCGACATATCTACTCGGGCGAGACGGGTGACACGGGCAAGAGCGAGGTGGGTGAGGTAAGCGTCACAGGTGATGCGGACGTGGGCGAGGTGGGCGATGTGGACGTGGGCGCGAGACGCAGGCGAGCTGCGGACGCGAGCGCGAGACAGGAGACGCGGGCGAGGTAAGAGGTAGGCAACGTGGACAGGGCAGGTGGCACGGACACATGCGACGCGGCGAGAGCGAGAGTGAGTGGGCGAACGAGGCAGGTCACAAAGTGACGCAGGGCAAAATGCGGGCGACAGGTCGACGCAGGGATGAGACGCAGTCAATGAGGACGAAGCAGGCGAAATGGATGACACAAGAGAGCAAGACAGCAACAAGCGAGACGCGGACGAGACGGACGAGGTGGCGACGTGGGTGACATGGGTCCAGACTAACGCAATAAGGCAGGCGAGAGCTAGATGGCGACACAGATGACATGCAGGCAACACAGTGGGACGCGCGCAACTCGGGCGAGCGACACGGGTGAGACGGGCGAAGTGGATGATGCAGGGGACTCCAGGGGATGCAGGTGATACGTGGGCACGGGAGATGTCCGGTCGACGCAGGGTACGCGGGGGAGGTGTGAGACGTGGGCTAAGACGGAGGGCGACGCGGGCAAAACGTGGGCGACACGGAGGCAGCGACGGACGTGGGTGACACGGTCGAAGTGGGCGAGATGGGTAAGATGGGCGAGGCGAACTAGACCGACGAAGCAGGCGAAGTGCGAGACGGGGGAGAGACGAGCAAGACGAGCGAGGTTCAAGGCGCACGTGAAATGGGTGACGCAGGCGAGGTGGGACGTACGGGTGCAAGACGGGCGAGGTGGGCGACACAAGTGAGACGGACGGGGTGGGTGAGACGGGCGAGGCAGGCAAGGCGAGGTGCAAGTCACGGGCGAGACGGAAGAGGCGGGCGCGGTGCCAGACGGGCGAGATGGGTGACGCGCAGGCGAGACGAGAGAACTGGGTGATGTGGCGACGTGGACGATGCAGATTAACACAGGTAAGGTGGCAGCAGAAGACGATGAGGAGCATTGAGGACATCAACGACGAGGGTGCTGGCAGCGCCAAGCGCTGGAGCCCACGCAACGCGCGTCGATTCCCACGCGTCCGGCGCTGCCAGCGTGTCACTCTGCCTCCGCGCTGCCCGTCCTCCCCGTCCTCCCGTCCTCATCTTCCTCGACTTTTCCTCCCGGCGCAAGGTCTTCAAGGAGAACGCAAACGCGCCTCTTGCCCACCGCTTCCTCGATGAGCTGTTGCGGCCCCCTTGGTCTTGGTGAGTCCCCCGTTCTGCCCTCCTGTGTTCCTCACCTCGCCCACCACTTCCCCAGGCCCCGGCCGTGCCACACCGTCCCCACAACGCGCACGTCAACCTAAAGGACGTGCACGGGAGGCTTGTTATACCGGCACGACCGTATTACGCGGCCGTTGCCGCTGGGTTGCACATCGCCCGCCTGTCACCGGTTCACCTCCGCCCGCCGCTGTGCAACCTTCGTGCTTGGTCTCCCCCTAGCCGTCGCCTGCAACGCCCCCGGCTCCTTTGCGGTATGTTCCCCTCTTTTTTGCTACGCTCCCTTGCCCATTCTCATTTACATTTGCTCTTTGTCTCCCCACCTCCCGCGCCCCGACCCCCTGAACCATTCCCTATGACCTCTCCGCCCACACGGCTTTGGAACGTCCACGGTGGCGATGTACTCTCATCGGGCTCCGCTTCGCCCGCACGTGTCGCTCACCTCGCCCTCGCCCGCGTCGTGTCGTGTGCGTCTCTGTCGCCCACCTCGCCCGCGTTCACCTTGGCACTTTGCCCACGACTGCATCGCTCATGTCACCTGCCCACATCGCCCGTCCGCTTCTGCGTCACCCCCGCGTCGACGTCTGCCTCACCCATCTCCTCCGTGTTACCCGCTTCGCTCACCTTGCCCACCTCGCCCACATCCATGTTGTCCGCTTCGTCATTCCTCTGGTCCTCGTGCCCCGCCGTCTATCCGGCTCCAAGGCTTCGTCAATGCAGATCCCGCGAACGCTTCAGCAGCCGCCGCCGCCGCCGCACTCGCTCGCTCGCATTCGCAGCCCACTTCGCGGCCACACCCGCCGCGTCTAGTCTTCACGGGCACGAGCGGACACTAGCGACCGAGAGCCTGACGCTCGTCGCAGAGGCGCTTCCCACTGCACCGGCCGACGAGGACAAGCAAGAGGAGGACGGGAGAGGAGGAGGAGCGGAGCCTCGCGGGTATGCTGGGTGGGGTGCTCTTCGTCGTGCTCGCGGTTGTCGTGGGCCGAAAGCTCCACGGTGCGCCACGTGGACTGGTGTGCGTGCGTGCACGACGGGCCCACCCGCGTCGCCCACTTCATCTGCATCGCCACCTTGCTTGTGTCCTAGTGGCCTGTAACACGTCTTTGTTCCCAGTGTAGTTAGATTATGCTGGTTTCTACCAATATATTTCATCCTCTAGAACTTCTATACTGTTGTGAATTGTTGTGGCAATCATCGCTCCCGATAGAAGACGTTAGTACCAGACTATAGGATTAGGAGCACTAGTATCAAACACCCTCAACATCTTCTAATGTGTGTAAATTTGCGGCACATTAGACATGTTAGTAAGATGTGGGACCTAATGTGTTTGCTGTTAGGTGTGCTGATTCTCATTTGGTCTAAACGTCGGGCGATTAGGTGTGTTAGACCACATTAGAGCTAAAAGTCTGGTGGATAGATGTGTTAGAGCACAATAGGGCTAATATGCAAATTGTGTTTTTCCTGATGCGGGTGCACGGGTCAGCCAAGCACGACCCGGACCCGGACCCATGGCACCTGACCCGCCAACCCGCACGGGTGGCCACCACCCGTGGTGATCACTAGGGCCCACATCACCATCGCCTTCCCCATGGGCGGCGCCTCCAACTTGACCACCACGATCTCGAGTTGGACCACTGCCGGCTGCCATCAGGACGACATGAACTGCCTCCGGACGCTCAACATCAACGCCGTCGTCTCAGACTCGATGACCCTTGCCGCCTGCATCACCCATTGCAACTCCAAGGGCCACACGATCACCAGGCTCGAGTACGCGCGCGAGTGCTACCGCGGCGCGTCCTTCGTCAACAGCGGCGGCGCGCTCATCGCGGACGCCACAACACAACTGCATGCCCTGCTCTGGCGACTTCACCGCGCTCTGTGGTGGCCCCGACGCACTCACTGTGTTCGTCAAGAACGGCAGCGCGGCCGCGAACTCAGGCTCCGGCTCAGGCACCAGCTCCGTGACGAAGACCGGCACGGTGCTCGCCGCGCCGACTGGCTCGACTTCAACCTGTGGCTCACACGTGCCGGTCAAGCGGAACCACAAGCACAAGGCGTTCAGGCGCATGCACGAGAACTTGGGCCTGTTCCGAGCGTGCGTCCCTCCGCGTTAGCGAACGGGTCGCCGTGGATGGCGGCTCGCTCCTCTTGTCTCGTTTCGACGCTGTGACGTCCGCAAGAGGGAACGCGGGCCCTCCAGGCGCGCGCATGCGCATGCCGTCGCTGGCGAGGAGTGAGGTCTACCTCGTGCAATTCTCGTGGGTGTGATTGATGGAAAGGGGGGATGAGGATAAGTCGACATGTCAGTTGGTGGGCACTTGCACACCCTCCTTCCTCCAGAGCTCAGAGGATGAAGCCTTGAGGATGCACTGAGAGCGACAGGTCCAAGCTTTCAAACTCGGTCTGCATTGTCAGCAAGGGCCGCAGGGGGTGCCGCTAGGCAGGACCTGTTCGAACTCGGTATAGAGTATTAGGCTAGCCATTATGAATTGGTAATAGTTCGGCTATTATAAGTTGTAGCTTGTATAAGTACCTTATAACTTGTGGCTTGTAAGCAGGCAACTTGATCGGACTCATTGTCTACCGACGTCGGATCTGAGATCTGAAACTCGACTCAACTCGAGTTTTGCCTGCAATTTGGGTGTTTGGTCGACCTCGTCCAATCACCCTGCTGACAATCTTAAAACATTCTGTGCATCATGGGCACATTTAAGAAGCAGTTCTACCATTCATCTGTTGCTCTGTTCCACTACGAAACATGAATCTTTGTTTTGCCACCAGCGCCAATTGAAGAAGACGGCTCATGGACGGCTTGGGCGGCTTGGGCTCGGCTTTGGTAATCACAACCAAAATCAGAGCCGTGGCTCGAGTTTTGGCTTCCTCGGAGCCGTCCTGAGCCGAGCCAAGCCGAGCCATCGCAACACTACGAGTCACGCAGCCGCCGGCCACACAGGCGCGACACTGCCCCGAGACGTCTGGACACCGGCGCCTCGGGCCCTGCCACCTGAGCTCACCGTCTCCGACAGTGAGCTCACCTCCCTCTTTGTTTCACATCACACTTTGTATATAATTAGTGTTCAAAATATATTTATCAGTAAACTACTACACAAGTGAACAAGCAAATAATACCACACCCCACGACAACGCGGAGGCGGAGGCGGGTGTGGGTGGGCGACGCGAGTGGGCGATGCGGGCGGATGAGAGACGCGGGCGCAGGCGACGTGGCGAGGCGGGTGTGGAGGAGGCGGGCGAAGGGGAGACAGGCGCGGAGTAGGGCGACGCGGCAAGGCAAAGGCGGGCGAGGCGGGCGCGGAGGAGGTAGGCGTGGAGGAGGAGGGCGAGGATGTGGGCGTGGAAGAGGGCGACGTGGCGACGGGCGACGCAGAGAAGGAGGGCGATGCAGAGGAGGAGGGCGATGCAGAGGAGGAGGGCGACGCAAAGGCGGGCGACGCAAAGGTGGGCGATGCGGAGCAGGCGGAGGAGGGTAAGGCGGAGGGGTGAGGTAGACGAGGCGGGCGACGAGGGCGGACGAGGCGGCGCGGAGGTGGGCGATGCGGAGGTGAGCAGCACAGAGGAGGGTGACGAGGGTGGGTGGGCAGGAGGCTCGAAGGAGGCGGCAGGCGCGGGCGGAGGAGGGCGAGGAGGAGCGCCACGCAGAGCAGCACGGAGGAGGAGGGCCGCACGAAGGAGGAGGGCCGCGCGGGGGAGGGCGACTCGGAAGGCTGAGGAGGGGGAGGACGTCCGGGCGGACGTCCTCGGCCTGTTGTAGGAGCGGCGGGTGGGCGTTGGGAATGCGAGAGGGCATAGCGGAGGACTCACCAAAGCAGGGGCCGCGGCACATCGCCGCGGCCCTATATTCCAATCTCCATGTGCACTCTTGACGTTGTGAGGGTGGTTGGCAAGGTGGGTGAAGGGCGGGATTGAGGTCGAGGTCGAGGGAGGTCAGAGGAGGGAAGGTCAGTGTCACCTGGTGACACTGGAGTCCAATAGCAGACGACAGTCGACTGTGTGGTCGCTATCGTCTGCCTGGGCTGAGCGGGAGGATGGAAGCAGTGAGGGTGTAGTGGAGGAGGCGGAGGAGGAGAGCAAGGATGGCGAAGGGGAGGGACGCGTGGCGTGCATCACAACCGGCTAGGCGCGTCTACACGGGCGCGCACTGTCACGGATCAATAGGTGCATCTGTAGCTGCCGATGGGCTATGGCAACAGGTGCTCCTAGCGATTCACTGCTGCTCCCACAGCCTGGCATCAACATGAACTCCATACCACCCGCGGCATACGGGGAGACCGATGAGGAAAAGTGAGTTTAAAATCGTATAATCAGATGGATCATCACACTGAAGAAACCCACAGGTATCTTGAGGCGTTTACTAGTTAGCGCGTGGTACTCCAACTGGCGAGGAAGACGAATGCGGAGCCATCGGTGCGCATCGCATGGACGTGGGCAATGATGCGGTGTGGGCCCCGGGAGGAAGAGGACTTGGAGCATAGCGCCAGTAGGTAGAGGTACATGGTATGATACGAGCACGCACTTAGTCTACGTCGTTGGGATTGATCAGTCCAAGGGCTCCTGCCCATGCCGTATCATCCTAATGCCATAATTAGTGCTGTGGTACGTCGAGACGGGAACATCACTCACCAGCTTGAGACATTCGTACTGCACTCGACATTCGCCGAGTAGAACAACGCAACGATCGGCTTGCCTGTGTCCCAGTCAATAGCATCGCAGGATCGAGTCCATCAAAGAGACGTACTTGCGCGCGTATGCCTCTCGCCCGCGGTCTCGTGTCTTTCGATGCCCATCTGCAGTTGTCACCCAATGGCGCCTCCAATGCGCGAAGAACATGATGGTGCGCCACATCTCCCAATGCAGGAGCTTGCGCTCTTCTTTCCATCGTGTGAGTATACCGCTCGTCCGGAACCAGTGAACTGCCTTCACTGTTCAAAGTCTGTCAGTACATGTGTATTACAAAGTATCAGTGGGCACACACCATCGTCCGCATAGATGGCGTACAGCTCCGTTCCCGGTTTTTCGACAAGGGTCATTTTGTTCCAAAGCCACGAAACCTGAAGTTTCTTTGATTGATTCAAAGAGCTTCGGGAGTTCGCCAAGTTGAAAGGTTCGACGTCGCGTTTCTCCAGTGGCTGGAAGTCGGGGTCATTGACTGATATCCCTAGCCAGAGAAGACGCTCCCTGATGGCGCGATAGTCGTCCACAGCGGCGTCAGCATCTCTGTGCGTCGTTCTGAGCAACGTGAACACGACCACTGACCTAGCTTGTGCGTACGCTGCACGTTCTGGTCGTTCCAATTGTCGTTGAGGGTATCGTGACGAGCCCCGGGACCTATTTCTTTCGTCCGCGCGATTAACGGGATAGTTGTCCACCAGTTGCGCTCGGGTGCCTCTCCGTCGGTCATCACGCAGCCCACCTGTGGTTACCCCAATTGTAATACAATTGCCCAGGAGCCTGCAGAACTGGTTTTGTTAACCCCCACCAGGTGGTCATTGTACTATATCCCCACCAGGGCATTGTAATAAGCCATAAGTCTAATGACAGAACTTCTGCAGCCTTGTAATAAGCCTCGCCACTAATAACAGAAGGCCCCCAGGGCTGTAATAAGTTGATATTCTAATGACAGCACCCTCCCAGGACTGTAATAATCCTCGTTTCTAATGACAGAAGGTCTCCAGAGCTGTAATAAGTTGGAATCTTAATAACAAAGTGTCCCCAGGGCTGTAATAAGCCTCGTCTCTAATGAAAGAAGCCTCCCAGGGCCGTAATAAGTTGGTATTCTAATGACAGAGCATCTCCAGGGTTGTAATTAGCCCCGTTTCTAATGACAGCACCTCCCCAGGGTTGCGATAAGCCCCGTTCCTAATGACAGAAGCCCCCCAGGGTTGTAATAAGTCGATATTCTAATGAAAAAGTGTTCCTAGGGTTGTAATAGGCCCTGTTTCTAATCACAGAACCTTCCCAGGGCTGTGATAAGTTGATACCCTAATGACAACAGCCCCCCAGGCTTGTAATAGGTCTCGTTTGTAATGACAGAACATCCCCAGGGTTGTAATAACTCACGTCAGGTACTATCCAGCTATTAATAGCCTCATATCGTGGCTGGCCTGGCCAGCTATTAATACCTGGTATACAGGTACCCTACCCTGCCCTGCAGCCCCCAATTGGGTAAATAGCAGCTGCCTACAAGATAGCTATCAATAGCAGTGGATAGCAGCAGGTTCCTGCAGCTGGAATAGGGTGCAGTAGCTGGTTCCCGCATGTAAATAGTGGGGGTTGCACAGCTGGGCAGGGTGGGAAAACAACCAGACACTGTGTATGGATCAAAAGAGGCATCGTATAGCTTCTAAACGCATCCAAGAGCATGCCATTCGGAGCAGTATTGGCGGAGATACGGGTGTACCCCCGTTTTTGTCGATGGGCACATCCACTAGAATTGGGAATTGTGGATGGATCCCCTCCGTTCTTTTGCATGGTGTGTGGTTCTCTCTCCAATAGATGGGATTGAAGTCCGATCGCGAAACGATGCACACAATCTGGATTAGATTGCCGATTACGCTTCAGCCACAGCACTTTTGATGGCTTGATATCTCTGCACCACATCCCCCGATAAGCATTTGGTTTGTTGCAGTCTCTTACATACGCATATGAAAACACGCTCTGGGTGTCATTTGGACGTGAAACACTCTGAACATGTCCCTGCGCATCTGCGCACATTCAACACCCCTTCATTCATAGCTCCACAACCGTTGCTCCGATCGCCACGCTGCTTGCTGCAGTATGTTCATTATCCACTGCCTAAACGGACACTACTCTCGAAACTGTTATCAGCATACACTTCAGACATATCTCTCCTTATATTTCTTCCCATCAATTCCTTTTCCGGGCTATGACATATCATCTGATAACATAGAACCTTACAGATCTGGATCGCGCTCTGCGTTGTGTATCTAACACAGCAAGAATCATGAAATTTGGTTAGGAACTCAGGAAGATATAGCATCTGTAGTAGAAACAGGGTGCACTTTTGCTTCATAGCTGCACCTCTCACTTCACACAAACCTGCAATTGGGCCTACACAGCCATTGAAATGGTGTAATGACTCATGGAACATGTTTGAGTATGCTATTGAACTCGATTGAGCATCACTGCCAGATTGGGGGGTAAGTACATCACTTCATGCCTGCATATGTGGGTGTTATGTGTAAAGGTTTCATGCCACACTTTGCAGCTCAGTACTGCATTCCAGGCCCTGCTGTGACATCTCAGCCAATTCTTGGCCGATCAACAAGATTCTTTTTGCGTCTTGAAGCTGTGTTCTATCTGAGTTCAGATCAGATACATGTGCTGCTATCACACTGACAAGTTGCCTCCGATCAGGGGGTAAACTGAAGGTGAGATATGGGTTTACCAAAGCTATCAGATGTGCGATAAAAGATTCGAAACATGATTTCGGTTCAGCTTTACAATGCCGAATGGTTGCAGCAAGCAGCATGGCGATCAGAGCAAAGGTTGTGGGGCTATGAATGAAGTGGTGTTGAACGTGCACAGATGCGCAGGGACATGTTTAGAGTGTTTCATGTCCAGATAATACCCAGAGTGTGTCTTCATACATTGATGTAAGAGACTGCAAAAAACCAAATGCTTATCGGGGGATGTGGTGCAGAGATATCAAGCCATCAAAAGTGCTGTGGCTGAAGCGTAATCGGCAATCTAATCCAGATTGTGTGCATCGTTTCGCGATCGGACTTCAATCCCATCTATTGGAGAGAGAACCACACACCATGCAAAAGAACGGAGGGGATCCATCCACAATTCCCAATTCTAGTGGATGTGCCCATCGACAAAAACGGGGGTACACCCGTATCTCCGCCAATACTGCTCCGAATGGCATGCTCTTGGATGCGTTTAGAAGCTATACGATGCCTCTTTTGATCCATACACAGTGTCTGGTTGTTTTCCCACCCTGCCCAGCTGTGCAACCCCCACTATTTACATGCGGGAACCAGCTACTGCACCCTATTCCAGCTGCAGGAACCTGCTGCTATCCACTGCTATTGATAGCTATCTTGTAGGCAGCTGCTATTTACCCAATTGGGGGCTGCAGGGCAGGGTAGGGTACCTGTATACCAGGTATTAATAGCTGGCCAGGCCAGCCACGATATGAGGCTATTAATAGCTGGATAGTACCTGACGTGAGTTATTACAACCCTGGGGATGTTCTGTCATTACAAACGAGACCTATTACAAGCCTGGGGGGCTGTTGTCATTAGGGTATCAACTTATCACAGCCCTGGGAAGGTTCTGTGATTAGAAACAGGGCCTATTACAACCCTAGGAACACTTTTTCATTAGAATATCGACTTATTACAACCCTGGGGGGCTTCTGTCATTAGGAACGGGGCTTATCGCAACCCTGGGGAGGTGCTGTCATTAGAAACGGGGCTAATTACAACCCTGGAGATGCTCTGTCATTAGAATACCAACTTATTACGGCCCTGGGAGGCTTCTTTCATTAGAGACGAGGCTTATTACAGCCCTGGGGACACTTTGTTATTAAGATTCCAACTTATTACAGCTCTGGAGACCTTCTGTCATTAGAAACGAGGATTATTACAGTCCTGGGAGGGTGCTGTCATTAGAATATCAACTTATTACAGCCCTGGGGGCCTTCTGTTATTAGTGGCGAGGCTTATTACAAGGCTGCAGAAGTTCTGTCATTAGACTTATGGCTTATTACAATGCCCTGGTGGGGATATAGTACAATGACCACCTGGTGGGGGTTAACAAAACCAGTTCTGCAGGCTCCTGGGCAATTGTATTACAATTGGGGTAACCACAGGTGCGCAGCCTGGCACCCAGTTGTACGAAGACTTGTAGCGACATGCCGGTTGGTGCGCGGACAAGTGCCACTTCCCGACCACGACTAGCGTGAAGGGCCCGGTCTCTGCGGTATGAGAGGGTAAATATGTCATACCCTTGTTCTGCTTGCACATCTTGGTCATGCGCTTCACGGCATTCTTGCTGTATTGACAGTTGATGTTATATCCCGAGACGATCATGGGAAGGGAGTAGTAGTCTAGGGTTCGCTAACAAATAACTTATTTGTTACTTGTGTTACTATTAGTTGTTAGTAACATGTTAATAACACGTTACAGCTGCGTGCAGAAAGCTTGTCCAGGTGCTGAAAAACACGACGCGCGTCGCGAGAAATGGGAAATTAAATCGAAATGGTCGAAAAATCGCCAACGGTGACGCGAGCGCGTTTCTTCTCCCCCTCTCCCTCGTTAGATCCCCCCGACGTCCATAGAATGTTGAAGAGCGCATCAGGCGCGTGTTTGGGTATGGTATGACGCTTTTCCGCGTCCTCAACGGCCAAGCTGACGTGTTTCGCGGCAGACTGTGGTCTGGTGGTGGTACACGACGATCTTATCCCCGTCTGCCACCTTGGCGCCCCTTGAGCCACCCCGAGGCTGAAATCGTGCCCATGAAGCATGCGTCTGCGATGCAAGGAACTTGTCACATCTATGGGGACTGTTGAGAAGGCGTTGGCGGAGGTGCAGGAGTGGGTGGGTACGTGTGCTCAAGAGAGGATACCGCCTTCGGTGAGTGCCCCATTGATATCATGCGTCCCCCCTGTTGTCACAGCATAGTTATACTGTCGCTGTGATCTATGGCGTAAGACGTTTGTATGCCCAGATTTTTGTGACTACATTGGGAGAGTCCGTGGTGGTTCACGGTGCAGCTCGCGCTCTCACAGACACTGCCGTCCTCGCTTCGTGCTCCCAGCTTCATTGTCACGAGGATGCTTCAAGTCCTCATTACGCGGAACAGTTGGTTGGGTGGCAACGAGCTGGCTCTCATAGACCCATAGATAGAGGGGGATGTACAGTACTTGTAGGATGTACATGCCTTCCAGTTTCGCCTTGCCATTCGAGTGTTCACCCAGCCCTCCGAGCGACACCAACTGTTCAATAGGCACCTGTTACTTATGCGAAACTTGAGAGGCCATCTGGAATCAGGGACCATGTGGTTGCGCCCACGATTCTGGAAGTAGGCTCCGGTCACGGGCAGTACATGACGTCTTCGGTGTGGCGCAGGAGACGTCAAACCGCCCAAGAACTCACCCATAAGAATATATTCAGCTTCCTATACATCGTCAGACACGTTTCGAGGGGTGGCAAGGTGGCAGACGGGTCGTGTACCACCACCAGACCACAGTCTGCCGCGAAACTAGTGATCACCACGGGTCACCCCTGGGTAATCTTGAGTCGACCCGGACCCGGACCCGCGAAACCCGGACCCGTGAGCTCACAGGTCCGGGTACGCTCGGGTACAGCGCTTGAAACCACGGGTCAGTCACGTGTGACGCCGGCGTCGGCGCTCGCGCGCGCGGCTTGCCAGTCGCGCCGACTCGACCGTGGACTCGCATCTCCTCCCTTCCTCCCCGTTCCCGCCTCTGCCCCCCTGCTTCAATGCTTCCTCAGTCGAGACCCCTCACATCTTACACCCCCTCTACCACGAGGCCAAGTACCCCACTTTGGCGACCGTATCCATATCACCGAGCCACCCATCCGAGCCCTCGCTGTCAAGAGCTCCTGTCCCCCGGCGCCCTCCCCGTCGACCGCACTGACGCAGAGGAGATCCAGGTTACGCACGCGACGATGGCCGATTTTGAAGAGTACCGCGCCGTGTGCGCCGCCTGCGCGCCCGCGCATGGCGACTTGGACTGGCGTGCGGCGGTCCCGGATCGCGTGCAGGGGTGGGAGGAGGACTGGCGGATGTGGAGTGACTGGCGGACGAGCCGGAGCCCGTGGCTGGAGGAGGGGGAGGAGGATCAGTGGAGGGTGTGCTTCGACCACTGCGCCCGCGGCGTGCTCCTCGGCAGCCCCAAGTTCACGCTTTCACGCCCTCTGTCCGGGCTCTGGGCATCTCGTGAGTTTTCTCGCCTTCCGTGTCCCCTTACGGCGCTCACGCGCATGCCCGGACGGTGTAGGGCTGGACATGGACGGGAACACGCTCGCCGTGCGCCCGTAAGCGGTCGACGCACGGCTTGAGAACCCGCTGCTCTCGGCCGCGGCCCACGCCCTCGTCTTCGACCTCCGCAAGCACCACTCCGTGTCCCCACCCAGCCCCTCCCGTTTTGGGAGCTGAGTGACACGGTGGACGAGGGCGCGCTGAACGTGTACCGCCCCCAATCCTTTCCAGATGGGTATGCCGTCCAGCACATCAGGTGCGTGTGCGGCGGGCGGCGGAAGGTGCACGTGCGGAGGCGGGGCATGCCAGAGGAGTGGGTGTACGAGACCTACGTGAAGGGGGAGTGGAAATCGCATGAGCCGGAGACGTGCAAGATGTGCGTGGCGAATATGGAGGAGGAGGCCGAGGTGCGGGCAAGGGTGGCGGAGCTCTTGGCGGAGAGGGCGGAGGGTGATGAAGACGAAGACACGGACGTGGACGTTGAACTGGACGACGACCACGACGACCGCAACTACAACGACAACCACGAGATGGGCGAAGAGCAAGGCGGAACGGGGCGCATCGATCGCGTGTGCCGGTAGGTCCAGGACAGGCTCAACATGGACGTCGACAAATTCATCGACGCGGTCTCGAGCGAGGACGACGAAGAGCACAAGCCGGACAACGTGCACTCGCGCGTCGCAAGCCCGACAGACTCAGACAGGGACATCGCGCAGATGACCAATCGTCACTGGCAAGGTAACGTACTCCTCTCTGTCCGCTCTCCCCTGCTGACCCGTTTCTCCCCTCTGCACCTTCTGATTCCTCTCTTCATCCTCCTCCGCTGTCTCGCCTGAAGTTCTCTCTCCCCCGTCATTCCCTCCGTATGCTGCAGTCACACACAGAGCCCGGCACGATATGCGCAAGCCTGGCGCGGGTATGCGCTCTGCCGCCGTGTCCGCCACTTGGACGGCGTCGTTGTCCTCATCACTCCGCGTCCAGATCCAGTCAGCATGCCGGCGCGCTCGCTGCAGTGTCCTCTACCGCCAGTACGCGTTGGCAGGCGCACGCTCATCGGCGCCTGGTGGCACGCGACCGCGACCCCGCACACGGTCCCGCTCGAGGGGATGTTCATTGTCCTCCAGGTCAACCCCCCACGGACGGTCGATGGGCCAGTGGCGTGACTAGTGCGGCGGCGGCGGCAGGCTGGAGAGGACGTGGGGAACGGCGAGGTGTGGGAGAGACCCTGGCGGTCATCGAGGCCTCGCACGCCTGGGGGAAGGGCACGTTCGTGCGCCGTCTGTCGAGTGTGGCGTGCTCGATAGGGTCCACGGGAAGATTAGGAGATGGACGGGGCGCGAAGAGCTCGAGAGGGCCGTGCCCGTACGTGTACACGTTAGTGTGAGTGCTCGTCTGTGGCCCTCCAGCACGAGCGGCATGCGCACGAGCGAGCTCCGCCACCCCCGCCCCCTTGTGAGGGGCGTGCAGGGCGGCGCGGTATATGCCCCCCCCCCCCCGATTTGAATCAATACTATGTATTACACGTATAATGCACTCCGGGCCCACGGGTCACCACGGGTGACCGAGGGTTCACCCTGCGGGTGCACGGGTCAGCCAAGCACGACCCGGACCCGTACCCGTGGGACCCGACCCGCCAACCCGCACGGGTGGCCACCACCCGTGGTGATCACTACGCGAAACACGTCAGCTTGGCCGTTGAGGACGCGGAAAAGCGTCATACCATACCCAAACACGCGCCTGATGCGCTCTTCAACATTCTATGGACGTCGGGGGGATCTAACGAGGGAGAGGGGGAGAAGAAACGCGCTCGCGTCACCGTTGGCGATTTTTCGACCATTTCGATTTAATTTCCCATTTCTCGCGACGCGCGTCGCGTTTTTCAGCGCCTGGACAAGCTTTCTGCACGCAGCTGTAGTAACAAGTGGGCTCACAGGGGGTGTCCGGACGATGTTACAAATGTAACAAACTTGAGAGAGTCTCGGGCACGCGCGCATGTAATAATTACAGTTACCAGTTGCAACTGGAATGGTAAGTCACCAATAGCTCCAGTTGCAACTGCTGTTCCAGATGCAACTGCTGTGTCCCTTGACATTCCAAATGCAACCGACGATGAATTTACATATCCTGCTCCAAATGCGACTGGCTATGTACATATCCCGTTCCAAATGCGACTATTCTGTTCCAAATGCGACTGCTGTGTCAGTTAATGCAAGGGTAGGCCGGAGCAAGGGCATACTGACCGGACTGGGTGCAAAGGTAGGCCAGAGCAAGGGGGTGAGGGTGCAGTGCGAGGGCGTGGACTCAAAGTCACATGGCAAATGCTTCTCGCATATTTGTGCTTCAATCGCACACGACCGGTACCACCTAGCGCCCCCATCATTGCGCTACAGAACACGCGCACCTACTGATTACAGTTGCAGTTCCAAATGCACACACCCAAGTCCACGCGCACCACGCCCAAGTCCGCGCGCACACACACGCACACATGTCCGGTCACTCGCATGTAATGCACACACCCAAGTCCGTGCGCACCACGCCCAAGTCCGCGTGCACACACACGCACAGAAGTCCGCGCGCACACACACGCACAGAGTCCGGTCACTCGCAATGTTCCGCATATGCGTCGTTTTTAGATGATTGGGGTACACAACCAGAAGTACGACCGCCCGCGTTGCCAACGGCCGATGAAGGCCATCGGGGACGGAGACACACATGTCGGTGTTCGTTCTCGCCTCAGATCACTCAGGTATTTGTGTGCGCAACATAAGGGGTCTGGATTCTGAGTATATGCCGCGCACATATGGACAGACCGGAACGGGGACCTGGGTTGGGATCGTGTACATGATTAGGTGAGAGGGGCACGAGAGTGTAAAATAAGAGCTTTATATCAACGCGCAGCGGATGGAGCGCGAGGTCATAAGGGGCGAGGGGAGACGAAGTGATGAAGACGCGGAGTAACAAGACAAGAATGGGAGCGAGCGCACGAGATGGGGAGGTAGAATGCAAGATAAACGGTATGGGGTACGACGTGCCTGACATGGACGCGCAACGAAGGCAGCGGCGCGAACGCCTCCGTGAGCATGATGGAGACGTACCTGGAACTACTCATTGCTGTCCTCGTCCATCCCCTCTTCCTCGACGAAGCTGTCTTCCTCGACGAAGCCGTCACCATCACCTCCATCCACCCCATATTCATCCTTGATCTCTTCGACCGTCAGAAGGTCATCGTCTGAGCCCTCGCGCCACGCGAACAGATCGCTATTGTCGACGTCATCGTCTGAGAGACCGTCCTGCTGTAGCAAAGGTAAGCCAAACACATTGCGAACGAGTGGAGTGAATGTACCTCATCATCTGTCGTCTCTTTGACCTCAGTGACGCCCATCATTGCGACTCGGATATGATTGCGAGTCTCACAGGACACCTGGATGACGTCCGAGGGACGACACGACATCCATCGAGCATCACCCGGGCCCTTGATCTTGACGCGACTCTCCCCAAACACGCCGCAAAATTCAGTGAGGTAGCGAATGTCGCGAACACAGAGTTCATGCTCTGCGTGCGGGATCACTTGAGTGCGAGCAAGCAGAGAGCGCCCATTCTGCCCATGTGCGTGAGCTTGGAGCCGTTGAAACACAAACACGACGGGAACTCACGAAGAAGTGGTAATATATGGTTAGTTGCCAGGTGTCCTGCGATGCCATGAAGGGTGGTTCATCGTCCTCAATGTCGAATCGAAAGAGGTGCAAGAAGCGCGACTGCAGGTGCAAGAGAAATTGGTTGTACAGTCTAGGGGCTATTGTATAAGAGGTAAGTACTACGGTCATTGATGTAAAGAGTGTTTGCGTACGTGTGAGCATCAAGAGTCGACGCAACGCCGGAGTAGCTGGCCCCACCAAGTGTGCGTCCGGCCAATATTCCTCCCGCTTACCCTGAGACAACATCGTGGCAATGGCACTGGCCGGAGAAACGTCCTCACCTAGGCTGCCGCCCTCCCCAGTGGAGACTGCCGATGCGTTGTTGCCGGTGGGAGTGCGCCCCCCGGCGCGCGGCTGGTGGAGGCGACGGAGGATGCATACAAGCCGCGTTCAGTGCCGGAGTTCACCGAAGCCACGAAGTCACCCTGTTCGCGTTCGCCAGGGGAGGCAGAGAGTGTACCACAGCCCCCAGGAGTGCGGCTGTCGGAAACGGCGGGAGGTGGGTCGTCGCGCGAGCCGTGCTTGGCAGAGGGGGCTGAGGGAGCGTCGCGTGAGTCGCGCTGGGTGGAAGGGGCCGAGGGAGCGTCGCGCAAGCCACGCTGGGTGGAAGGGGGAGCATCGTCGCGCGAACCGCGCTGGGTGGAAGGGCCGAGGGAGCGTCGCGCAAGCCGCGCTGGGTGGAAGGGGGAGCATCGTCGCGCGAACCGCGCTGGGTGGAAGGGCCGAGGGAGCATCGCGCAAGCCGCGCTGGGTGGAAGGAGCACCAAGCTTCTTGTTGCGTTTCACAATGTCGGGGCTGTTCTTCACACTAGAGGCGGCCTTGAAGTGTCTCCCGGCAGCCTGGAGACACTCGTCATTGTCCAAAGGTTCAGTCTTAACGATGTTGGTGTAGGACTTCGTACGGGAGAGCACATTGTGAGCCCTCTCGAGGACCGTGGAAGAGTTGGCGTAGTTGGTCTTCATCCTCGCCATCTTGCGCGGACGTTCGTTCCCGCTACTACTGTCGTCGGTCAGTTCGATGGGGTTTGATGGGGCTCCAGGCTACAATACAAAATAAGAATGATGGTGACGCGACAAACGACGATACGCACATCATAGCTCTGTGCAGCCTGTGCAGCCTGACCCACATGTCCCTACATCGACAGGTCAATGAGAGTATCACAGGACATGAATGACACCGGCTCACCTCGTCTCCGCACTGCTCGCCATCGGACATGTCCATGAAGTCGTCAAGATCCTTGCCATCCTCTTCGACGTCAGCAGGCTCGCATCCTATGGCCAAGTGACGTCCGAGCTTGAGCGGCACCGCCTTGTTCTTCCCCTGATGTACCTTGTTAGGCACGACAGCAAATCACTTTCGAATGTACTCACCTTGTTCTTCAACGGGGACTCCTACACCATCATGTCACTGTCGGCAACAAACACGAGGACGGGGAATAACTCACGTCTGACATCCTCCGAGCCATCTGAGAGCGCTCGCTGGTGGACGACCGTCCCAAGGAAATAGACCCGTATATCAACGTGTTCTTCCTCCGTGGAATCTGGCCGCTCGATGGCGTCCGGAGAGATGGGCTTGAGGCGCCGAACGAGGTGGACGGAGACCCCGACGCAGTCGATTGAGAGAATTGGAACGCGTCATACGCTGCTGCCTTGCCCAGGTAGTCCGTATCAGAATACTGCTTGGGGGAATCACCCTTTGGGAGGTCGTCATACGCCAAGGCCTTGGCGAATATCTCGTCGTAGGTCTGTTGGTCGCTCGCACTCGGCTTCGGAAACAATGTTGAGCGAGAGGGGTACGGGTAATGGGAGAGTGCGTGCTCACCACCTCCTTCGTGTCAAGACCGTGTTGCAAGCTCCGGGCGCGATCTTCTGCCTTCATACCTCGGCGCTCCAAGGTGACGAACCAGTCGTCGGCATCTTCATTTGGGGGAGGGCCGTTATCCGCCTCTCCCACTTGGATGATCCATGCCTTCTCGTCCGGGTCGAGATGTTTGGGTGTCGGTAGAAGCTTGAAACCACACGACTTGTGGGTCGTTCGGTCCACGATGAAGTCACACTAGTAAGACCGTCAGCGTCGTCGCCGATCTGTAAGCCATAGCCACTTACCGAAGCGTGTACCATCCCTAGATGCTGGCCCTCAGTGTAGCAAATGAACGCTCGCAGCGGCTTCTGGTGTTCCGGGCATAGCACTCTGCCTTGGACGACGGAGATGGCGCATTCCGGGAAGCGGGAGAGAACGTTGCTGCAAACGCGCGCTTGCCGACGCTTTGCGTTCGCTTGCCTCAAACACGACGCTGTCAGTTCGCCACAGCATTGAATGAGAAGCCGTTGAAGTTCGGCCCCATGCACATTCAGCGGTGGGAAGACGATTTGGTGGGACAACGACATCTATGAAACCGTCAGATAGCGTCAATGGACAGCAGAAGACTGCAGGGACATACTGTGGTATTGATGTGGGACGACAACGCGGTGATAGGTTTGCGGTAGAGTGAAGCAGGGGGGGGGCAGTAAGTGTCGATGGAGAGAGCACAAACGGATGGGAAGGGACTTCACCAATCTGGTTAAATCGGGCGTTGACCCGATCGGGGTCCTACCACCCTCATTACGGCTGCCTTGTATGTCAAGCGCGATCTCTTCTTGTCGGTCACCGATCGCCCTGTCAAGGTGGTAATGCCAAACAGGCGCAGAGAGAGTTGCGCTTACATGGGAGCTGACGTTGAGGCATGTGCTTGCGAGTGCGGAAACGAGGTCGCGACTGGGCGAACAAGCAAAGCATTTGGAATTTCCGCTCGCACGAAGCTACAACTCGGGTACTAGCTACCAAACGTCGGCTGCTGTACTGAAACTACTCCCTCTTGCGCTTGCCCAGAACCCTGAAGAAGGCATGAGCCGTTATCCAATCATGTTTATAGTACGATCATACTCCACCGAGTTGGTCGCCAGCGCGGCCGCGCGACGGGCAATCAACACGCACACCAGCCAGATACGCTCCGACATCCGCGCTGGCGCGATGTGCTGATCAGAGTCCGTCTCCTATAACCAATGTGAGCAGATATGCCCACAACACGCGCGGATCGTCTCACCTCGTTCGCGCGCGGGCAGGAAATGCTGGTTCCAGCAGTGACCCCCGTCACGTCGACAAAGTACGCATCGCGGCGAAAGGAACGTCGTCGACATCGCCCTTCTTCCTCCGGCTCAGCCGGAAGTTGCCGTCGCAGGTGACGTGGATGTACTTGCTGTTCTGGTGTCAGCGTGCCTGCTCGCACCTTCCGGGGTACATGTACTCACTATCCGTCGTGGCTCACCACCTCCTCCAAGGGCGGTATCAAGTCTGATTCGATGTCCAGTTGCGGACAGGCGGGGCACGGTGCAGGAGGAGCCAAAATTTCCTCTCCTGCACGTTGGTCGCTGACTGCTCGTGACATAATTGCACTGGGTCCACAATGTCAGTGACGTCCTATGGCGCAGAGGGCAGTACACGTACCAGAGGCAGACAATGCTGTGCGCGTGATTCTTGGATGAGAGAGAGAGAGAGAGAGAAAAGGGGCGTCGGGCGATGAGAGAACAACGAAAATTTATATTGAGATTCGAGGAGGGAGTTGATTCCCCTAGCAACACACAGGGTCCCGACACACTGGGTGCCGTCCCTGTAGCCTAGGGATACCAGTCATATTTTTGACACTGTAGCCCAGGGATACCGCTCGGGTGGACTCATATGAGTGGGCGCTTTGTAGCCTCTGTTCCCACTCATATGAGTGCACAGCCACCTGTGTAAGCCGCCTTTCACTGCCTGTCTATAGCATTGTTACTATGCCACTACTATTACTGCTTTATTATCATGTAGCCCAGGCTGCTGCTCATATTAGCCTGTCGCTTAGGCTACCGCTCATATGAGCATGTTACTTAGGCTGCCACTTGTATGAGCATGTTGTTTGGGCTCCCACTCATATGAGCCTGTCACTTAGGCTACCACTTGTATAAGCCTGTTGCTTAGGCTGCCACTCATATTGGCACAGCGCTTATCCCGTGTATTGCCACTGTGGCTACTATAAATTTATATATGTTATAGCCTGCTGCACCTGTATGGTTACAAGCTTTGGTGTGCACCCACTACAGATCCTTAGCATATGAGAGTCGTCCACCATCATTAGCTTTATATACCATTCCCGCACCTACCGTCTCGCTTTGCGATTGCCTCCTAGCTCCTCCCTGTCACCTCTCCTACCCGTCTCCCCCGCTATCGTGAGCCTCCCCGAGGTCAAGTGTGTCCCTCTAATCCGACCTGACTTCCTGCTCGTCTCCGACTTGCCCGACCTCCACGCTCCTGCGCTCCGTGACTGTAACATATACATATATACAAACACGTTCTCACCCTTGCTTATGGTTACTAGTATTTTCTCTGAGCACCCATTCATGTCCATGGTATGTACACCAACTCCTGAGTGCCCGTTCTCAATCACACATGTGTGCAGACCACCCACCCTGGTTCATAGTATAGTATGCACTGAGCACCTGCTACTACTATTACACCCCATCCACCAACTGCCACCCTACCCCACTTTGAGTTCTCCACTGTTTGACATTCGCCCAGGATTTTTTTTGTGCCACACATGTCTCCCCATTCTTTGTAATACATCCTATGCATGTGAAGCACACAATGATTCTTGTGCACATATAGCACTCTGAGTGCTCCACTTCCATGGGCATACACACTCTGAATGCCTATTTTTGATGGCTGTATACCCTCCAAGCACCCAATTTCATGGGCATACACACTGCCATAGGCATACTAACTCTGTGTGCCCACATTTGATGGCTCTCCTCCTCCGAGTGCCCGTGTGTGGTGGTCATTCAACTCCGAGCGCCCGCCTGCAGGTGGTCATTCAACTCCGAGCACCCACCTGCAGCCTGGCAGGTGGTCGTTCAACTCCGAGCGCCTGCATTTGATGGTCATTCAACTCCGAGCGCCCGCCTGCAGGTGGTCATTCAACTCCGAGCACCCATCTGCAGCCTGGCAGGTGGTCGTTCAACTCCGAGCACCTGCATTTGATGGTCATTCAACTCCGGGTGCCTGCCTGCAGGTGGTCATTCAACTCCGAGCGCCCGCTTTTGATGGTCATTCAACTCCGAGCGCCCGCCTGCAGGTGGTCGTTCAACTCCGAGCGCCCGCGTTTGATGGCTCTCTTCCTCCGAGCGCCCGACTGCCACACCCCGAGCCCGCACCCTCATTACCTTACCCTCCTCCGAGTTCTCCACCGTTCAACGACATCTCGGGCTTGTTTTATGCGCGTTTCTACCCTCTTTCTAACGAGCCGCCCCGTTTCACCATGCGACCCGCCGTCGTCCCGCTGCACGTCGTCTTGTGCGACACAAGATCGCCCCCCACATCACCTACTTGATGCTCCCATCTCTTGACGGTTCGGAGCTCGTTTTTGACGCGGTTAGGTTCGTTCTCTTCCCCTCTTCAAGGCCGTTTCGATGCACCTTTGCGCGCGTTGGTACGCCCAGCCAATTGCCCATGACAGCTGCCGCATTGCCACCTTTTTGCCCTATCTGCATCTTCCTCAACCCCCGCGATCTTGAGCACCACGGCCACATATCCCGTTCGTTCCGCACGCATTTTGGTACGCGTGCTCCCCTCATTACCCCGCATATAACGCGCCCTCGACGCCGCGAAAACGCGCAGCCGTTCACCCGCAGCAACCACTGCTCTCTCCACACCGCCTCCAGCCATCCTCAGGCTTGGACTCGATGCGCCACTTTCCCAGTTTCGCTCCGATCGCGCTGAAAATCGGAGCTCAGATTGCCCTCATCAATTCCTTTCAAACGCGCCCACCTTCGTCTCGCCCGCCGCACTCGTTCGCCCGCTGTGCGCTGTGCAAGACCGCCTGAAATCAGCACTCCCTTCCCATCTTCCCAATGCTCGATCTCGCCCACTTCGCCACCTAAGAAGACGTGGATGGGTTCATTCGTCGCGCGTCATCAAGCCCTTTCGATCGCGCGCTTGGATGTAGCAGTCGGAAGAGATTTGCACCATGTATGACAGGATATGTGTATGTTCAGCTTACCTTGCCCCCTCCTCCTGCCTCCCCCAGTCTTGCCCTCGCATCTTGCCCGTTCCATGTCCGTTTGGCGTGCGTTTTGGTGCATAGGTTAGCATATATCCCCTCGTTTTAACGCCACCTTACACATTGTGATCTGTGCCTTCCATGATGTTATATTTTGGTGCTCAGCACCTGTTTGATCTGACCTATACTGTATACACTATCAACCCCCTCAGTCTCCCTCATTTTTTTGGAATGAAACTGTACACCACATATGAATGCAGTGCTGCACACTGCAGCATATTGATATGAGTTGGTCTACCTGTACTGGACACCTTCTCCCTGGGAAGTCACCCTTCACAGCAGCATGTGTAGATGGTAATTCACCAAGCTGTTTTCTATATCAGAGAGTAGCTTGTAAGATCTGTGGGTGTGCAAATTTGGAAGACAGTAGCTGCAACAGTGAGGGAATAATGAGGTATGATATTTTAAAATGACATACCACACACAGACATGGGATAATAGTGTATCACATTCCGGACACCTAGATATATTCACAGACAATATTCTGAATGCAATGCAGAAGATAGCGCACAGAAATCCGGATACTTGGTGAAGATACAAGATATGTGTGGAAAGTGGAAGTTCTGAGAAAACACGACATGTATAAGTTCATGTGCAGACATGATATCAACGGGCTGTTTGCTGAATCACACCTGGATACTATTAAGGTGCTCAGATCGGAATTTATACGCTTATCGGTGATGAGATGCATGTGGGGGATCATATGTCATTATTTTATGACATACGGTACCCTGGAACGACATGTGCTCCGATTAGAATTCAAAAACATGGATTAGAATGGGGTACGTCTCAGCTATCCAACACAGAAGAGACCTTGAAAAACGGTTGAGAACCAGTGGAGATGTGCAAGATGAGCCAGAAGCTTGCAGCTCCGTAGCCTTCATCTGCCTTTTCGCGTCGTTGCCACGCAAGAGCACCTGTATCTGTGGCTTTGACAACCAGGCGTTGATGAGGATGATCTCTTCGAATCGCAGTTTAGTTTCCCCCATGACGTTACTGCCAAAACACGGCATCAGAACGCGGCGCAAAACGGGGGTAATGTACTCACGTAACAAGCAGGCGAGGAGTCCGATGGGGAAGCGTTCGGTGCGGGGAAATCGAGCAGGAGCAGCGAAGGAGACAAGTCGTATTACCAAGGCGCATCAGGATATACATGGACAGGGAGAGATCAGGAACCGGTAACTACCGTGGCGACAACGTGAGGGATTCGAACAGGCGGGATCGGGAGGCGTTGGTAGGTGCGCACGAAACTGTCAACGTAAAACTCGATCGCGGCAGCCTGAATATTGGCAAATCGGAACGCGTCGCATTCATCGACCTCACTCGCGGCTCCAGAGAGACTGGCAGGACGACCAGGCCATCGACGTTGCAGCTCGAGCAACGCGCGCAGACGAGGTCTCCCACTCTCCCACCTCGCGTCCGGAGGCCGGACCCAGCAGGATGACGAGCGATCAACGTCCCCCAAAGGGCATATGTCCATCCCGGAGGACGCACTCCCCCAGACTTCGGAAACGAGGGACTCGCGCGCCCATTGGTCCAAGTCGGACCACCTGCGCGACCCAGCTAGTTCGGCATCCAGAGCGAGGACCTCGCACCGCCAGTTCATCTCGTGCGCCTCCCAGACGAGCGAGCGGATGAGATCTTGGTCACGCGTCACGTCGTCGAGAGTAACAACGCGGGCGCCGTATGAATGAGCCGCGTCTGGGGCGAAGTTACGGAAGTCGGCGCGGGCGAAGACTTGCCGGATCGCCTGCTGAGCGGCAAGGCGGTTGGCCTCGCGCGCGACCTTCGTCGGCTGCTTACGCTTTGAAGGCTTCCCATCGGTCGCGGGTGTCGACGAGATCGGCGCCCTCATACTTGACGTCGAGGGGCCTATCAAAGGCGCTACCTGGGAGGAGGAGACACCCGCCGAATAATCCCCCCAGAGCGCCTCCTGCCATTGTTGGACGTTGAGGGGTCCACCACAGCTGGTGCGGTCGAAAAGGCGGACACGACAGAACGTGCGGATCGCGACGAGCTGAAGCGTGCGTCGCGACCGCTTTTCCTCGGAGAGGGGGAACCCGTCGAGGTTGTCGAACATCCAAGGCGGCGGAAAGAAGTATGATGCGCTCTTGCTGGGCTGCTTGAGTTCACCGACACGCCGGAGTGCGTCAATCCACGCTTCCTCGTGTATGACGGTCTTGGACGGATAGAACCGGCGGAACGGGTTCACGTTGAACGATCCGGTCGACTCTATGGGGGCCTTCGGACGTGAAGGCTTTTTAGCGGGTCGCGCGGCGACGGGAGCCAGGCCTTGCGCGAGACTCTGAGCGGTGGTCCCTGACCGCGTGCGGACGCCAGTCGACGAGGACGCCTCGGAGTCGAGCTCTCGCACTTTCTTCCTCGCGCACTCCTCGTTGTCATCGTGGTTGTCCGAGACGAGCAGGGGAACTCGGCTTCCGATGAGCTCGGCGTTGACTTTCGTGTACATGGCGGCCAACCAACGACCGGGGGTGTTCAGGAAACCAGAGAGGTCTCGCTGTGCAAGAACCAGCTTCGGGAACGATGGGGTTGACGAGAGCGAGGCCGGCGGAGGAGTGAGGGGGACGACTTCCCAGATGGCAATGTCGGGGCGTCGGTGCTGCTGGAGCCAGACTGGAACGCCGGCGCGATGAAGTTCCTGGGCTACGCTCGGATCTGCGGTGTACGCGCCGAGGACGTCCAGGACGTCAGTTCTGCAGTCGCGTCCCTCCGAGATCCGAGGCAGAACCTCGCGCACGTAAGCGCGAAGACCTGCAAGCTCCAAACATAGCCTTTGAACGTGCGAGGCTAGCGACACGATGATGCCGCGTTCGGATGGGAGGACGCAGAGGCGATCGAAGCAGAGGCGGACGCCGAGGGTGAGGAATCGATGCTTCTGCTGGACGTCCGGCGGGCCTCGTTTGCATGGTTCTGACCAGGTGATGATGTTGTCGACAGTGTGGCGAAGTTCCTTGATAAGGTCCTCGCGAAGCCTCCCCAGGCGAGACGGCCCGTACTGATCCTTGATCCAGTCCCCGTGGAGCCAGTCGTGCCACAGGACGGGAAATCCCGGATCGTAAACACTCCCATGACGAGGAATGCACGCGAGATGGACGAAGTGCCGGTGGTAACTTTGCGGCCACCGGGAGTATTCATGTGCTCCCCAGCGACCGTCGTCGAACGTGGTGATCTCACCAACTGCGACCGCCAGACGGGGGACGTGGTTCTGGTTGGGAGTGGTGAACAGCGAAAACGACCCGAAGCCGTCGCTCGCGACGAAACCATCGAAGGGTCCGACTGCACCCAAGCGCGGACGATCTAGAGTTCAAGCGTTAGGACACGTCGGGCAGAAGGGGCATATGAACGCACCTTCCAAGCTACGGTTCGCGCACAGAGGCTCGTCATCGGCGTTGGAAGACTCATGACGTTCTCGGACTACTATGGGCGTAAGGATCCTGCGGTGACTGGTGAAAGTGAAGTCTACGTACCGGGCTGAAGCCCTCGGCGTGGGGGGAGGTGAGAAGACATGACGAGCGAGGCGGCACGTCGGTGCTATGAAGAACGGTTCAACGTTTTATAACCATATGCACGGAGGGAATTACGTACCGTATCCGGAGGGCGGTGGGCGAGAAGTTGAGAGAGGCAGGAGGATAGCAGCCGGAAAACGTCCCGCTGGAGAAACGCGTATGCAGCCAAGGGGAGGATGCGATCCCCTATGGGTGCGTGGTTGAGATGGTGGGTGAGGACGGGGATGGAGGACGAAGACGAGGCAAATGACAAGGCAAGAGAGAAAGGGGGTCAGCTGGACAACGTCCCGCTGGAGAACCACGTATGCAACCAAGGGAGGGATACGATCCCCTATGGCGGCGTGGTTGGATGATGGACGAGTGCGAGGATGGTGAGCAGTAGGCGGAGGACGATGAGGAAGCAAGTGTGGGGCATCGGCGCTTCGATGGAGATCGTGAGAACCGCAATGTTAAACGGCGCGCGCCTTAGACAACGTGACCGCAATGCTCACGTGATCCCCGTAAGGCTCTCTGCTCTCCGCTCCCCTGAGCCCTCGCTAACCGTTGTGTCCCTCCCCGCCACCCACCCTTCTCTCTCCTCTTCGCCCACCACGGCGCATTCATACCACTCCGTCCCAATCCCATTCACCTTTCGGAGCGACGCCGGTGTGTCACCGTCGCGTCGGCCGGGAGTCTTTCGGGGTCCTCGAACCTGGCGTTGCCAGACGTTCGAACCTTGAACTCTTCTTCCCCCACTCCTACGTTTATAATTCCGCGCGTATAGCTGTAGCTTCTAAAGCTGCGAAACACTCAATTTCCCCGTGCTTGTACGACACCGCTGTCCAGGTGTCCAGACGGTCGAAAACGAGGTATGTGGTCCCTAGCCAGACCAGGAGCCAAAGATTCTGACTCAGCGCACCAGTTGCGACCCACTATTGCCTCCACATCACCCTTGCATCTTCAAACGCCACCACGATGACAAAGTAAGTCTAGTGTTATACCCGAAGCTGAAGTATTTTACTCATACCCTAGCAGAAACAAGAAACGATTCGCTGCTGCGGACTTCCTGCAGGCGTCGATGCGCGGCAAGAAGACTCGACTGGATTCTTCTCCGCCCGCAATCGACATCGCATCGGCGTCCTCGCGAATGCGCACAGAGCGTGCATGGCAAGGGGCTGAAAGCGACCTCTCGAACGAGTACGCTGCACCTGCGCTCGAAACTCAGAGCCAGGACGACGTCCGCCCCCTTGCGACCGAAGAGACCTCTTCTACGGCCGCCGTTGCCGACGAGGTTCCACCGGACGGCGACTCGGCCCAGACGGACGAGAAGGAGGAGAAGAAGGAGAAGCTTGTGGTGAGTGGTGTGCGGCGTCGGTAGACCACGCCGCTAAGAATAATGCCAGACTCCCAGCCAGAAGATGGACTACTTCATGAAAACCTGGGCGTGTCGCGCTCAAGACGCGCTCCTAGAGCGAGAGGCAGGACCGGTCTTCCCCGTGAAGTGTGCGACCTGCGCGAAGAGTTTCGAGGACGGCACGAATGACAACATATATCGGTGCTTCGATTGCTGGTTTCCACCGCTGCAATGCATCAAGTGCATCGCCGACGAACACACACACAACCCATTCCACCGACTCGATGAATGGTCCACAACACGAGGGTTCTGGAAACGCACGATGGCCGGCGAGCTGCCCACACCATACAACGTAGCCTTGTACGTCGGTCATTCGGACGCAAAGCCTTGCGCGGTCGCCGGCGGGCATACGAGGCGCATGACCATCGTCGACAACCACGGGCCGCACGAGTTCGAAGTCGGGTTCTGCCACTGCACATCCTTCGATCGACCACCAGAGGAGGAAGCGTTGCAGCTTCTACGATCGCGCTTGTGGCCCGCGACGTGGTTAACGCCTCGCGCGGCGTTCACAATCTCCGGCCTTCGCGACTTCCACCTTCTCTCTCTCACCACGCAAGCCTCAACGCAGGACTACTGGAAGTATCTTTCGCGCAGCAAGGACAACGTGCTCACGCATCGCATCCCCGTGAGTCGTGCCCACGCTGTGTTCACTTCTGTCTTACTAACAGTGAGTAGAGCCGCTACGGGGATCTGTTGACCACCCTGCGGTTGTACTCCTTCACACAGCTCACGAAGCGCAGCGGCGTGGAGCCGTCATGGGATATGGGAGAGGGAGTTCTGGGTACTGCGTGTCCCGCCTGTCCACAGCCTGGCATCAACATGAACTCCATACCACCCGCGGCATACGGGGAGACCGATGAGGAAAAGTGAGTTTAAAATCGTACAATCAGATGGATCATCACACTGAAGAAACCCACAGGTATCTTGAGGCGTTGTATATCACCCTCGACGGCAACTTCCAGCTCAGCCAGAAGATGAAGAAGGCCGACCTCAACGACACCGCGCTTACCCACGCTGCGGGGTACTTCGTCAACGAGACGGAGGCCGCAGACATACTTGATGTGCCTCAGGAGGAGGTGAACGAGGTGAGACCGTCCGCAATCGTACGAAATATCAGTCTCATTTTTGGCACAGGCGACGACCTGTCATGAGTTCGGCGCCATGGGGTACAGCCGTTATGCTGGGAGAGTGACCGGACTTGTGGGTGGTACATGCGCGCGGCACCAGTACTGGATGAGGAACAGTTTCGTTGACCTGACCAAGGGCGAATCGTGAGCTTACCGTCGATGTGGCTTCGACATTGTGTTGAGACGTATTCTAGTTACAAGTACGCGGATCTTAGTCACCTGAGTGGCTTGAAGACGTACTACTCCCTTCCCATGATCGTCTCGGGATATGACATCAACTGCCAATACAGCAAGAATGTCGTGAAGCGCATGACCAAGATGTGCAAGCAGAACAAGGGTATGACATGTTTACCCTCTCATATCGCAGAGAGGCCCTTCACGCTAGTCGTGGTCGGGAAGTGGCACTTGTCCGCGCACCAACCGGCATGTCGCTACAAGTATTCGTACAACTGGGTGCCAGGCTGCGCGATGACCGACGGAGAGGCACCCGAGCGCAACTGGTGGACAACTGTCCCGTTAATCGCGCGGACGAAAGAAATGGGTCCCGGGGCTCGTCACGATACCCTCAACGACAATTGGAACGACCAGAACGTGCAGCGTACGCATAAGCTAGGTCAGTGGTCGTGTTCACGTTGACCGTATTCTTGCTCGCTGACGCTTCAGACAGCGGGCGTTCTCTCGAAACGTTTCGAAGCGACGCACGAGAAGATCAAGATGCTCGAAAATCATCTCAAGAACATCGAAAAAGACTTCACTGCCGAGGAGCTCAAAGCGATGAAGGAGGACGAGACCGAATTCATCCGACGTGTCGTTTCCGTGGAGTTGCACGACGACCTCGAGAACCTATACGACATCGACTTTGATCGTGGTGAGTGTCATGCGAGCGACTTTATCGTACCCGGCTGACAGTCGCGCAGCCAAGCTCGCACAGGCCGTCGTCGCTTCTGCGGGCAAAAAGCCCGCGGGGGCACCGAGCAAAAAGTCCACTGTCAAAGCGCGGAAGCTCGCCGCAGAGCAACGCAAGTCGAACCCGAACCAAAACGCGAAGAAGCCTGCCGCTGGCAGCGCGAAGAAGTCCTCGGAACCCAAGATGCCACGTCGCGACCAGAAGATGATGGAGGTGCTCAACGAGGGAATCGAGCTTGAGATGCTGAAGTGAGTCCGTTTCTGTCGTCGCATTTCTCGCTCTCACACGGAGACTTCGCAGACGGACTCTGCTACATGGCCTTCGGCAAGACCCAGGCGAAGTGACACCCGACATGGAACACAAACGCAATGAACTTCTGCGGAGATACTCGAAATGGGCAGGCCTCTACGATGCCCAGATCCAGCCCGTGCTCGAAGACGCCGCCGACATGGTTCCTGAAGCTCTCAAATCCCAGACGTTCCCCCGTCGCGTCGAAGCCTGTCGCGCACCGATCTCCTCCGACAGCGATGACGATTTCATGGAGATCGAAGGTGTAGAGTTACCTCTGCCTTCAACCTACGACGACACTGTGTTGGCTCAACCACCAGCAAAGCACCTCGCGGACCTGGAAGCGACAGTCAGGTGCCAGCAAGCACACAAGTGTCTCGAAGAAGTGCGAACACACCTAATTCTCTACGCCGCGCTCAAGATCGACGTCCGGATCCCATCGAAGAACAAGCCTCTCTCTCGCGAGCTCACCGACATGCTCAGAACGACGCGCAGAGATGCCGACGCCGCTGCGGACGACTATCGCGCAATCAGGGAGCGTCTTCTCTGGCTAGGGATATCAGTCAACGACCCCGACTTCCAGCCACTGGAGAAACGCGACGTCGAACCTTTCAACTTGGCGAACTCCCGAAGCTCTTTGAATCAATCAAAGAAACTTCAGGTTTCGTGGCTTTGGAACAAAATGTCCCTTGTCGACAAACCGGGAACGGAGCTGTACGCCATCTATGCGGACGATGGTGTGTGCCCACTGATACTTTGTAATACACGTGTACTGACGGACTTTGAGCAGTGAAGGCAGTTCACTGGTTCCGGACGAGCGGTATACTCACACGGTGGAAAGAAGAGCGCAAGCTCCTGCGTCGGGAGATGTGGCGCACCATCATGTTCTTCGCGCATTGGAGGCGCCATTGGGTGACAACTGCAGATGGGCATCGAAAGACACGAGACCGCGGGCGAGAGGCATACGCGCGCAAGTACGTCTCTTTAACGGACTCGATCCCGCGACGCTATTGACTGGGACACAGGCAAGCCGATCGTTGCGTTGTTCTACTCAACGAATGTCGAGTGCAGTACGAATGTCTCAAGCTGGTGGGTGATATTCCCGTCTCGACGTACCACAGCACTAATTATGGCATTAGGATGATACGGTATGGGCAGGAGCCCTTGGACTGATCAATCCCAACGACGTAGACTAAGTGCGTGCTCGTATCATACCATGTACCTCTACCTACTGGCGCTATGCTCCAAGTCCTCTTCCTCCCGGGGCCCACACCGCATCATTGCCCACGTCCACGCGATGCGCACCGACGGCTCCGCGTTCGCCTTCCTCGCCGGTTGGACTACCACGCGCTAACTACTAGGCCCGCTCGATGCGCCCCACACTGATCTCGGTGCCGTCTATGCACGCGCTCTCCACGCTCACGCTTGGATAGGTACACTCTGCCTTTCTCCACCAGGACGGCACGCTCGACGCGATGGGCACGACGCACAAGAACCGCTCGCCCATCTCGCTCGCGTCACCATCCGGTAAGTCCTCCGCTTCATCCTCCTACGCTCCGCACCTAGCCCACCACCTCCCCAGGTCCCGGCTGCACCACCGACCCATCCCCACAATGAGCACGTCCCGCTTTCGCCTTCTTCGCCTGCTGAGCGCCGCGTGGCATAGCCAAGTAGGCCTGCTCGACACGTCCGCGCCGTTCCTCGTGCGTCAGACGCTGGTGTTGGTGCCGATGACGCATACACTCCTTCGGATGTTCGCGCTCGGACAGGCACACTCCGCCAAGCTCGAGGCACGTCGCCGCCGTTGCGTGCATCTGGCACGGCACCTACGCGCTCTTCCACAGCGGCGCGCATGGTCAGCTCAGGAGGGTGGTGAGTCCGTGCGTTCCCTTACTCCCTTTCGCACCATCGCGCGCCATTTTACGCCTTCTGTGCTGCTCGGACGTTGCTGACTGTGCGCACCCCTCAGTCCTGTCCAGCGCCCACGAGTGCGACATCGCGTTGCCGCACATTGCCCACATACCCTGCTTAGCGTAGTTGCCATGTACTTACTTATGTTCTATGCACCCAAGGGGACACGTTGATGCATATCCGGTACACATGTGGTTCGATCAGAGGCTCTTTGGTGTAACGGCTGAGCGTGTCGTAGCTGATGCATGCACTGCGGGTTCGACTCCCATGCGGGTGTTACATTAAATACCAGAATTGCATGCACCGTTCACGCAACTGGCGTCTATTCCAGATGTAACTGGATGTTATGGTGACTTACCATCCAGATGAATCTGGGAAGTCACTAGTCAAAGCTGCTCCGCGAAGAACACGTAGTACAGATGGGACCGCTGCCCGGTGTGGGTGATCTCAAGGGCAGGCCGTCACTGCGTACTACTCCGACCCACGCTGGTAGAGCCACCTCACCATCGCGCAGGAAGACGCAGGCCCCATTCCGCGAACGCACGGTTGTAGGCACGCCGCATCAACCTCGTCCACCGACGCCCTCGCTGCACCCGCCTGCCTCGTCGTCTCGCGCACCTCGCGCTGTCGACCTTTAAGCGCCCCGGCTGCAGGGCGCGGCTCCTACAAGTTCCACCAGGCAATGCGCTCCGCTGCTACGCTGCTCCCTGTTCGTCCTGCTCCGTCTTGGGTCCGATACTTGCGAACTCGAGTTCGTGACAGACGTCAACTCCGTCTTGGACAACGTGCGTGCCCCTCTCCCTTGCAGTGCCCCCATTGAGTCGTGCGTCTGCTCAAATTGCACCGCAGCTCGCCTGGCGCGCGCTCTATGAGGCGATGTCGGACCAGATCAAGCATCGGCTCGAGTCTATGCCTCCTGAGGACGGCATCGTCGCCGTGGACGAGACGTGCCTCACTCAGATACTCGCCAACCTCATGTCGAATGCGTGCAAAGTCACACCCGCCGGCGGCAACCTGACGATCCGCACTCGGCTCGTCCTCCCCGAGCGCTATTCGCGCTACTACGACGACAACAGCAACCAGGACGAACGGTGCGGGCGACCTGAGCAGCACAGGAAATGGGGAGACATGTGGGGCGTGTGGGGACGAACTGACGGGGCTGTCGAAGAAGCACCTGAAGGAGCGCGACGTGTCGCACACAAGGAGCTCGCCGCCGCCGGAGTGGATTGTGGTGCAGATCGAGGTGTCGGACGTGGGTATGGGAAGTAAGCTCTTTTGCGCGTGGTCCTTTATGACTCTCGAAAGTCGAGACGCTGATCTTGTGGTGCGCCTGCAGCGCGAACGGGACCTTCGTCGCGCAGAAACACGTCCTCGTCGTCGACGATGACCCGCTCACGCGCAAGCTCATATCGCGAATGCTCAAGCGGCTTGGCTACTGGCTCCCGATGGCGGAGAACGGCGATATCATGCTGGGCCTCATACTGACCGACGCACACGGCACGCAACACTGTTAAGCGAAGACACGGGTTCTGGTGGGCTTGTGGACTCGGTGGCGAGCGTCGTCCCGGGCGGGGCGCACCCCACAACTTTGCAGCCCCACCACGGGAGACCTCCAGCGACTCCGCTACTCCCGAGTCCCGCCTTCACAACACCCCCACGCCCGCCTCCGTCCCATACATCTCCATCACCGCCCCCACGCCCAACCCCAACGGCCCCGGTTTTCCCCACTCAAGGATCCATCACTCTAGCCCACACAAGCCCACGCACCGTCGCTCCGCGACCGCAACCCCCGGACGAGTCGACCTCTCCGTCTCGTCCGCTCCCGGCTTCGCCGGTCATCGCCTTCCACCATGGGCGCTCAGCGTTCTCATCGCCGATCAGGCCCCACGCGCTCATCGCCGATCATCGATCAGGCCCCAGGCCCCAGGCTGCGGCGTTCTCATCGCCGGTCGGCGGTCACACCTCGCGCACTCATCGCCGATCACGCCCTGCAAACCCTCGCGACACGCTCGCCTCTTCGTTCACTGCGCTCCCTTTTCGTCTTCGCGCGCCGCCATAGTAAGGCGTCTAGCCTTTCAGATGGCTCCCCCATCAGCCAAGCCTGACGGACGCACGCTGAAGCGCATAGTCATGTCCGTGGGACTCGAGGCACGCTGGATGCTCGACGACGGCAAGGTGCGCCCACTTTCTGTTCATCTCGCGCATTCTCGTGTCTCTACCCACATCTTCTCTGCCCCTCGTATCTCTGTGGAGCATCTCCCCCGCCCACGATACCCTCGATCTGTCACTCCCTTTGCTCTTCTCGTGCGAGCACCGTCACTGACGCGTTATTTCTCCCCATACAGGCTCTGTATAGGCTCATCCAGAGTGCCTTCACCCACTTCCGTGTCCTCTGCACCATCCGCCCCTTCCGTGACTCGCCCCCGTTGCCCTCCGTCGCCCCCTAGGACCACCGTGTCGAGCCCACGATCTATGGCAGTCCCATCGACTCGATCCTGTCCGACTTCGACACCCAGTTTTTCGTCAAGACCCTCCTCAAGGGCGTCCTATGCATGCCCGCAGCGCCCAACGTCACCACGCTCGCCAGGGGCGAGGTCCTCTCGCCACTCCCCGGCGAGCTCCGCCTCAACTCGGACCTCGAGCTCGCCCGGTACGTCTCCCTCCTTCTATGCTCGCACATCGAGCCCTCACGCCTCGACGCCCGCAGCGATCCGCGCACCGCGTGCGAGTGGCACTCATTCGCCACGAACCAGAAGCTGATGGTCACTCGCTTCTCGGCGGCCACGATGAACAAGATGACCACGCTTGGCAGCCACGTCCCCGAGTCGCTCGTCGACTGCTCCGAGGTCATCTCCGTGCCCAAGCCTCCCTCGGGGTCTCAGAAGGCGCGCCTCCCGGCGGGCAAGACGCAGAAGGACATCGAGGCATTATGCGCCCCCGGACCCGCCCTCCCCTCTGCTCGAGTTCCCACTCCCACCCATCACCCTGCCGGCGATCTCGCCCAACCTACGCGCGCCGTCGAACCACCGTATGCGTCCAGCTTCCTCCGCCCGCCCACCAGTGCGGCGGGCGACGCGGTGACGTTGGCGGGGGCTCGCACGCGGCTCTCGAGCGTGCACGAGCGTGCGCACCTCGCGCTCGGTTGACGGCCTTCCGGGCCCTGGCCAGTGGAGGCGGCGCCTTCTGGGGCGGTATTCCACCCCGAACACCCTCATGCAGGACTAGTTGGTGTACCGTGCCTTCCAAGGCACCTTGTAGTAGTGTTGTGATTTACTTAGAGCGGTCTTCTTATCACATTTAGTCTCTGAGCCAAGCGCACTGTGCGCGGTCGATACTCTCGTGTACACCCGAACACGTGAGTCCCGATCTTCTCTGCCGTCTCATCACTCTCCCGTCCGCATCAAGACTTTGTCCGCTCACCCCGACGCCCCAACGTTTCCATTAGCAGGAGATAGCTCGCGAATAGTAGCAAGTATTGGTGGTAAGTTCTTTAAGTGTACATTACTGTCGCAGACCACTAAATTACATCTCACTTAGCAATCTGGGTTTTTCCTGATCAGTGACTCGGGGGTGAGGCCGTTGGCCTTGAGCTGCTTGGGCAGGAGGAACTTCCGTGCGATGTGAATCTTCTCGTCGTAGGTGGAGCCTAGAGTGACTCGTCATCTAGATAACCCTCGGAAATAAATAGTACCTGACTGAGGTCGATGGGCACGTTGATATAGTGATCCTAAATGAGACCGTCAGTGTCGATTCCCTTGATGCGTTCAATGGACTCACGTTGAACGAGTGATTTGCGCTTGATGGCGAGCCAATTGGAATCACCTTCTGACCGCCGAACCCCCTCGTTCGAACTCGCAGCAGAAGACACGGCCGAAGACGCCGCCAGTTCTTCTCGTTCGGCTTGGAGTCTCACGTCAACAGCCAGGACAGTCGCGAGAAGGGGTGCGACTTACGTAGTTACGGATGACGCCATGCTCAACGCTCCCGGACGGGATGCGCTGTAACCGCTTCCACTCTTGCACGGCCATTTTGCGCTCGTCACTGTCCTTCGCCATGGCTTCGGTCTTCGACTTGATCTCCGCCATATCGTCGGCCTCCGACTGCTCGTTGTCGTCGAGCTCCGACGGCGTCTTGGGCGTCCGTGCCCCTGGAGCTTCGGAACCCTGTGACGAGCGGTTGAGGCTATTGAGCTCGCGCTGGATGGCGGCGAGCTGCTGCCGGAGGAAGAACTCCTTCTGTTGCTTTGAGAGGGACTCATCGACGGACTGCGCGATCTTCTTCGTGACTTCGGAGATGGATGCCTGCTTGATGAACAGCTCTGTTGCGCGACGGAGACGTTGGTCAGGGCCAGCAGCGGCGAGGTAAGCTGGGGAGAGAACGCGTCAGAAATCCCGTACGCTGCTACCCTGGCCAGAGGATTAGACACGGGTTTCCATGTTTCAGGACTTTAGCGGGGGTGGCAACGCAAACACCGGCTGGTGCTCGCGAATCTCGCAGAGCAGGGTCGAAGTCAATGCAGAGTGAGAAGAGGGAACCCACCGAGTTTGTCGTCGTACTCGACCTTGTTGATGCCAGCGACGATGACGTCCGCCATCCATGGTGTCTTGTCGTCTGAGACCTCCTCGATCATATGTAATATATTGAGATACACATCCCGACGGGATTGCTGGTGTGGGGTCGAGGTCCGGCAAGTGGATCCTCGAGAGGCCTCGGAGTGTGACATGGTAGAACCGTTGGGGACCTCTCGAAACGAGACGGACGACACGAACGACGCGAGCCCCAGGAGTGGAGGGAGTTGGAGGTGGAGATGGGGACTGTGCCGACGGTGTGTTGCGGGGTGGGGTCGTCGACGGTTCAGGATCTGGGTTGCCCGTCGATGCTCGTTCCATACACACGCCCAAGAAACAACCTACCTGTACACCGTCCGTTTTTCGCCATCCGCTCTTGCCCGTCCGTCGTCCGTCGTCCGTCATCCGTCGTCGTCCGTCGTCGGAGTCTGCCGCCATCTCCGACTGTCTCCCGACACCCTCTTGTCGTCCGTTGTCCTGCGGTCTTGAGGCAGCCCAAGATGGCATATGGCAGAGGGGCCGCACTGGGGGCAGCCCTCGCCGCCATCATCCGGGGGCCCCGCCAATGGACGGAGCCCTACGCTCAAGGAGCTCTCAGGTGGGGGCGAGCCTCCGTACCGTCAGCACTCCGAGCACCGGTGGGAGGTCAGGATATGACCGTCGCTCCCGGGGCGTCTTCCGAGAACATCGAAGGGCGGGGTGAGCGTGCATGAGAATAGTGTAGAAGGTGGGGCAGGGATTCGCGAGCGCACGCGCAGTGTCTACTCAGAGTCAGCAGGACCACAATGGAAAGGGGTGGGAATCAGTGCGCACCTCGAAAAGTCCGACGACGTACCCAGAGCCACGATTTCTCCGCGAGAGGACCGGGGACGATGTTGGGTTGGCGGTGGGTGGGCAGAGGCTGGGGGAAGGTGTCAGCGCGCAGACGGGGGCGGGAGGTGCGCAGACCTTCAACGAGACTGACAGACGTGGGGTGGGGGGCGCAGCAGGCGCGGTGGAAGCAGAAGAGCCTGGCCATGGGGGTTTGTTGAGAAGGGAGGCAGGGGACACTGGCGGACCACTGCATGGCTTGGACGATCTCCGGCGCTCTCGCTCTCGTGTGATCGCGTCTCCCGCCAGTGTCCCTCCCCGGGAACTCGCCAACTGCCTTCACCCGCAGCCCGCACTCCTGCTGCCATTCGCGCTGTCTTCGCATCCAAAGTCGCCCTGCTCAAGAGCCCCGTCCATGAGGCACTAAACACAGGTTCAGAACCTATCCTGAACATTTCCTTACAGGAAATCTGAGATAATGTGTAGTGTCTCTGTGCACTGGCGGCGGCGGCGGGAGGCGGGATCTGCGGAGAGCGCGCGAGAGCCGCCTTTGAGCTTTGAGATATCTTCGAACCCAAAAAGATGTGCGGGCGGCTGTTAGCGCCGTGCGGAGGTGTGAGCGCAGATGTGAAGGCGAGCGCAAGGATTAAGGAGCCTGGAAACGGGGACAATGGGATGGGGGGTCATCGAGGACATCGGATCCTGAACTCATTTGTTCACAGCAGTCACAATGTTCATCATAAGAGGATGATGAAGCAACACAAATGCGAAGCAGGTCCAGGCTCTCCAAGCACGTCTTCAGCGACTGGCAAGAGGAGCAAGAAACCCCTGACAGGGACTACCCGATCGCTTCCAACCGCTCCTTGAACCGACAGAAATCCAGTCCGTTCCAGTCCGTCCAATGGGCGGCCAGATCCTTGGCCTTTCTCCTGCCCCAGCTTGACAGCTTGGTGAGCACTGCACAACAGACTGTACTCGTAGAACTCTCACCGGTACCGTGCATCCCAGTCTCGTCTCAACACACCTTGCTCCCCCCAATCCAGAGCGCGCTCCTCGTACACGGCGTCCTTCAAAATTTCCAGGTATGCTTGGATTGCGTCGTCCGCGAGACGATTCGGGACGAAGGGAAAGGTAGACATCAACCGAGGTTGATCAGGGACAAAAGGTAATTCCGCCCGGCAAAGGGGACACTCCAGCGCATCGTGCCAGTAGCCACAGACACAGTCCATGGCGGCGAAATACCACTTGAGCGCACAAAGCGCACAGAAGGTGTGCCCGCACAGTCCATGGTTCAGCCCGTAGGGCAGGGCCCTGTGAGATCAATATAAGCAAAAAAAAACAGTCTTGTAAGAACACGCACATGATCTCGAAACACCTACAGACAGGTGCCGCGATGAATGAGCAACCGCCATAAAAACCGGTGGATCACTCACAAGGAGCATATGTACCGCTCTTCTAGCTGCTTGAGCACCCACCGCGCGTCCGGCACTTCTTCCTTCTGCTGCACCAGCGCCGCGAGGAATTCGGTTTCCTCCTCCTCGCGTTGCAGGGCATGCTGCGCGTTCGCGGTCGCCTTCTTCTGGCGCTCCACTGACAGGTGGAGCCGCTTCTCCTCCCTGCGCCATTCTTGCATCTGCCGCTTGAAGTTGCGCTCGAGCCGCCTTATCTCTTCTTCCTTCGATTTCAACTTCACCTTGCACACCGAGAGCGCGTCGTCTTCGCTGCCTGTCTTCTCGTGCTCTCCCCCTTCCTCTTCCTCGCCTTTGTCCTTGTCTTCTTCGTCCTCTCCCTCCATCCTGCTCCGTTTCGCGCCTCGGGCAGATCCCTCGTGTATCGGATATGCGCCGCGTTTTCTGGGTGCTGCCGCAGGGATCGCTCCGCGTGCGCGCGTCTGGATTGGTGAGCGCGCCCGTGCCAAGCGCCGATGGGAGGAAGAGGGCTTCGGGACGGCAGCGGTTGGGGCGGTCAGATGGCCTTCGCTCAGTGGCTTGCGTTTTCGGGGTCGCAAAATGCGCCCTGCGCCAGACACGACAGATGCTTGGGTATGAGTCCAAAAACAAGCGGTGATATGCGTGCGCACCTGGCAGGAGCGCGGCAGGGGTCTCCGCACGGGGCCCCGGAGAGATCAATACGGCGGCGGCGGTCTTTTTGGACCTCTTGCGGGCCGACCAGGAGCGTCGACGCCTTGATGCGCTCCCCTTGGCCATGGACGAAGGCGAGAGGCTGAAGGGGCAGCGAGGAGAGTTGGGGATGGAGAAGGGCGAACGATTCGATGATCGATGTAAATGACTTTAACTTGAGCGCCGAGCCCCCTGATCAGCCTTGAGGCCTCCTCGTGTATCGTGCCTGCATGCGCAGTGACATAACGACGTTTGCATTCGAACCTGGAATCGCGCGTGTTGATGCGCCGCGCCCGCGCAAGGCGGACGTGAGGACGCGAGTGGACACGCTGCGCTGTGTACTGTGAGTGGGCGCGAAGGCGAGGACGACCGGCGCCTCCGCGACATCGAAGAACACCGTCCTACCATCCGGCACGGGCTCGTACAACTGCCCACGTCGGACATGCCCGCGGGCGCGGCGCCCACGCTGGCCACGACGTTGGGGATTCAAGCCGATGTGGAGATGGTGCGGCAGCCACTGGCTCAGTGAGAGCGCAGTGTACAGTGGGGCTGAGTCAGTGGCAGGTATGTTTTTGGCAGAACGTCCGAGCACGGCAGGCGAGCAAGATGTCAGGGTGCACCGCATGGTCGAGCCCGCGCATCCTGAGCTCCTGCTGCTAGATCTGCGCACGACCACTCCCGGCAGGTGTTGCTGAACGCGTGCGACATGTCCACCTCGCGCACCCGCCCATTCTGCAGAAGCAGCGACTCGCCAGTTTGCGTTCCGCTTCCTCTTCTACCGAGATGGGCTCCGCAGCCGCTTATTCCAGCAAGTCCACAGCGACCTCGACCTACTCGCAGTACTCACACTTCACCTGGGCGACTTCCCCGCGCAAGCAAGGCGGTCGCCGATCTGTAATATCTCACGTGTCTGCAGGCGTCTGCACGTGGGAATTGTTGGAAAAATCGTGTTCAGTCGTCCAACCACTGCAGACATTTCTGATCATTCCGATGATATTGGCAATGGTGCTTGTAAACAATGGTCGTACATATTGCAACATGTTACACTATGATCGAATGTGTATGCTAATCTATGTACCAACCGACGTGGGGGAGGCGAGCGAGACAGGGGGAGATGGGCGACAAGGGGGCAGAACGGGCGATGTAGGCGAGATGGGGGACTGTTCGGACATGAAGCTCAACAAGCTTGTGAGCGACTGTACACCGGGGGAAAATCGACGCGTGCACGCAGGCTACTCACCCGGACAGAGGCAAGGGAGCTTGGGGCGACATACGCACGCGTTCAGACCATGCCTCCCTCCCTTCGTGTCATGCTCAGGCTCCATTGCAGCGCCCTCAGGCCCGACGATGTCCTTCATGCACGTGCAGCGCATCCAGCACATCTGAATGTAGATGTCGCCTGTGAGAGCATGACGGCGCCAGCGTGCGGCCCGGTGCTGAGCATCGCGCACTCGCATATCATCTGCGCGCGGCGGACGACGGCCTGGACGGCGTCGGCCACGTCCCCGCCCGTGTTCGGCGGTGCACGCGAGACCTTGACGAGCCCGGGGAAGACGGTGGCGCCGACGCGATTGGGCTCGCCGTGCTCGGTGCGGTGGCAGCGCTTGACGAGCTTGATCTGGCGCGGGTTCACCGTGCTTGTGACGTAGGGCACGAACGCGTGGTAGAAGGCGTCGACGGTGCCGCCCGAGCTCGAGGGCGCGTCGTGGAGCATGCGCGAGAACTCGTAGGCGGCCTCGAGGACGGCGAAGACGCCGGCGGCAACAGCGGAGGGCGCAGGCTTCTCCATACCCTGGGCCTTCAGGTCGCCGAGGTCGAGCCCGAGGATGTCGGGGAGGTTGGGCATGTGCTCGGAGAGGAAGAAGCAGGACATGTCGGTCGAGTAGGACTCGACGGCGGCGGTGAACGTCTGCGGCGCCAGACGGCAACGACGGTAGGATCGCCTGTAGGGCGCGGTGAGCACGCGCGCGGGGGAGATCCAAGGCAGATGGAGGGCACGAGAAGGGGGGCACGCACGGGAGAAGATGTGCTCGTGTATGCCGGTCGCCTCTGGGGAGTCGGTCACGATGACGCCGTTGACGATGCCCTCGGCGATGGTCTTGGAGACGGTGTGGCGGAGGAGGCTCTGGATCTGGATCCCGCCCGAGCTCCCGTACTCGCCCGTCGCATCCGGGTCGTTGTCGAAGCAGTCCGTGAGCGTGCCGGAGGGCGTTGGGTGGCGTGCGGGGCGCGTGGGTGACGTTCGCCACCCAGCGGTTGATCTGCCTCTCGAGCCCCAACGCCGCGTTCCGTGCACGCGCGCAGAACACGCGGGGGGAGGGCCGCACGGGCTGAGGGACATGTGGAGCGCAGCGGATTGAGTGGACGGGGCGCATCTTGACTGATTGAAAGTTGTCGACCGCCTGCAGCGGACAAGGCAGAGGCGGGATAAACACCCACCAAGCAAGATGGGCTTGGCGTCGCAGGCGGGAGCTTGCCTGGTAGATGTAGGCATGAGTGGGAGGGTGACAAATATAATAGAGCCTGGGGTGACGCACGTGTGTGTTCAGACCGCGTCCTCCTCCGCATTGTGCTCGGGCTCCGTCGTGTTGTGCTCAAGCGCTGTCTTGCCGTGCTGTGGCCCAACGATGTCCTTCATGCACGTGCAGCGCATCCAGCGCATCTGCGCGTGGATGTCGACCGCGATCTTGCCTGCGAGAGCACGACAGGGTTAGCGAAGGGCGCACAATTGTGGCGGCTGAGTGGTAGTACCCAAAGGTTTGTCCCAGCGGGATGGACAACGCCGGGACTGCAGGTGGTGCGAACCATGCAGGCAAGGTGTGCAACGCAGGGGAGAGGCGTCGATGACGCGGGCAAGGTGGCGGCACGAGGGACGGGGGTGACACGGTCTCGACATGGCAGGTGTCGTGAAGGCGGTAGGGCAATGGCGGGGGTCCAACGCGGTCGTGGGGTGGGGCGAGGTCGCATTATTGTGTCAAAACCGTTGCGGCCACTATCACTGTCACCACTTAGGCAAGCACGGCCGACCGAGACGGGTGTAGATCATGGTTGAGTCGCATGTGAAAGAAGAAAAAGAAATGGTCAGTAGGATCCGAGCCCTCAATACACAACTGTCTGCTGCAGATAAGACAGACGGAATGAACAAGGCGGGCTTGACGTCACGCTGGACATATGTGTCGGTGTATGCGAGAGCGACAAGTCTGCTCGCTTGGTGGAGAGGGATGGACATGTGGAAAAGTGGGAAGCAAGAGAAGTACGCACTAAAACTGCCCAGTACAGCACCCCTGCGATAATTTGGACCTTGCGTGCATATCTCTAGAGCACAACCGCACACCAGATCACGACTGTGTCAGCGCGTGAAGTCGTTGGTTCTGACAGTGCAGCCGAGCGTGCTGAAGGTGATCGGGGTCATCGCGTAGACAAGACGGAGGGTAGAGCGGGCGACGCACCTGCCAGCAGTGGCCTCTACAAGAAGCCACTGCAGTCGACGCATGGAGGTCCGCACGAGGCCACTGAGGCAGTTGTTGGAGGCAGAATCTGAGGAGGACAGAGACGGACGAGACGGAGGCTGGCAGCGCCAAGCGCCGTTGTCCACGCAACGCGCGTCGATTCCCACGCGTCTCTGACTCTGCGCTGGCCCGACGCCTGTAGGCTGTCCTCCCCTCTCTCCCCGTCCTCCCTGTCTTTTCCTCCCGGCGCAACATCTTCAACGAGCCTGCAAGCGTGCCCCTCGCCTCCCGCTTTCCGTATGGGCTGTTTCAGCCTTGTTTGTTCTGGTGAGTCCCCCACTCTATGCACTTCCCACCTCGCCCACCACCTCCCCAGCCCCCGGCCGCACCACCGACTCCGTCCCTGACACAACGAGCACGCCCCAGCGAACGTGCACAGCACGCTCATTCCTTCGGCGCGGCCGTTCCCACTGTCGTCCATCGCAGCATCCGCCCGTCGCAATGCCACGAGGACCACGCTCTAGACGCACACGAACCCGCTGTACGCGGCCATGATGCTCTCCTGGTTGCTCACCGAGGTCGTCCCGTACTCGTTCTACGCCTGTGCGCTCGTCGCCCTCCGCTACACTCTCTTCTACGTCCTCTACCCGACCGGCGCGTCCTCGGAGGCGCGGCGCTCCCGCCGCGCTTCACCGCCGCGGACCTGCACGCCCTCGGCTGCTGTGCGCTCTTCCTCATCTGGTGACCGGGTGAGTGTCTCGCGTTCGTTGTCGCGCTCTTGGGGTGTTGAGGGTGCGAGGGAGAGGGGCTGACAGTGCGCGTGTACAGGGCCGGGCGTGACGCGCACGCACACGAGGAACCACAATGCCCGACGGCGACTGCGCGTACGAGACCACCTACCCCGACGTCCTCCAAAAATCCGCGATGCTCTGGCGGCGGACCAGTGGGGCGCCTCCCGTTCGAGCTCGACCTCCCGCCCGCGTTCGCGTTCGTGTGCGGCGTCGCCCGCAACACCCTCGGCTCCTTCGCAGTACTCTTTTATTTACTTGCCCCCTTGTCCGTGCTCATCCCCATTTGCTCTTCATCTCCTCATCTCCTGCACCCCGCCTCAACCTGTCCCACACATGTGCACGCGGCCTCTCCACCCACGTAGCTCTCTTACGAAGTTGAAGCCACCACCACAACCACCCTCTCCGGCTCTCCCCCGTCCTCGAGATCATTACCGCCCCCAGCTCGCCCCTCGACTCGTTCTACGACGCCCCTCCTTTTACGGCCGCGTGGACCTGCACGCCCGACTCTTCCGGGACCTCACCTCGGCGCATTTCCTGCACTTCCAACGCCAACACGCCCAGCAGGACATCGACGAGGCCATCCTCCACACCGAGTCCGCACTCGAGCGCGTGCCCGCCGAAGACGCCCTCCAACCCCCCGCTCACCCTACAGCTCGTGCAGGTGCTGCTCGCCCGCCGTGCGCTCAAGCCGTCTCCTGGCTACCCCGCGTGCGCGCTAGATCAGCTACGCGCCGCCGCCACCTCTGCCATCGCCACGCCGGCAGTCCGCTTGCGCGCCGCGACGGCGTGGGCGCGCGCGGTATCGGTGCTCGGTGCCGCGGCCATCCTCGGTGCGCTCAGGGTCGTGCCCGACGTGTTGCCGCTGTTGGTCTGGGCGGGGTGCCGGATGCCGGCGCAGTACTATCGCTCCCCCAGTGTTCGGGCAACCCCTAGTGTTCGGTCAAACGTGAATTGCGCTCCTGTCCCTCCACCGATAATGATGAAAATTTACACACATATAGCCTTACTTCTCAACTACGTATTCACTGAATATCGCGCGGTGACCCCGAGCGTGACCGTCCTCGGAGAAATGCCCGAACACTAGGGTCAGCGAAGTAAATCGACGACCGCTCATGCAAATATTCCCGGATCAGCCTCAAACTTTCGGAATAGTTACAAGCATGTATTCGATACACGTATGTAAAGTTTCAGCATTATCGGATCCAGGGGGGGACGGGGGCGCATTGAACAGTCGCCATCAGCGCTTACTTGCCCGAACACTAGGGGAGCGATAGTATCGCGAGCTTGTCGTGCTCGCGGAAGTGGGGCCGTGGGCGGCTGCCTGCGCCCTCGAGTGCGGGCGCGTGGAGGACGCGGTTGAGTGTTTAGAGCACGCGAGGCACGCTCTCGTGCACCGAGTGACGCGACTGCATTCAGATCACGTCCTCAGTGGCTTGCTCGGCAGCTCACGTACGCGCCCGGCCACCGGAGAGCCTTCGACGGGAGGAGGGGAAATCAACGACCTCGCGGCTTATGTGCTGCGACTTCTTTGGACGGCTCTTCCCGGACCTTGGCATTAGGCGGATCTGCTCGTAGGACATTGCAGCTGCAAAACGTCGTCGACGGCCTCATCGAAGTGAAGGACGATATGGCGCGTGCTCAGGGGGAACGTTCGGTGTCCCAGCCTGGCGTGGGTCTGTCGCAGCTTCCTCACTCCTATGGGACCCTCTCGCTTTCACGGTTGGACAGATTGTCCAGCAACGACACCTTCAGTCTTCGCGATCTCGATGGTCGCAGCGCGCAAGTTGTCTTCGAGAAGGGCTGTGTGATTAATGTCAACGCCCACTCCTCCCAGCTCCTCCCGCGCCGATGCCTTTGTCATCTCCTGCTCCTGTGGAGCACAACAAGCAACCGTGTCACATGTCCCGCTCCCCGACACCAGCCTGGACGCCGCATGCTCTTGGGCCGATGCGAGCGCTCCAGCCAGGCAAGCAGCACCTTCAGGACAAGAGCACCTCCACACGCAAATTCGAAGACAACGTCTTCTGTGGTGCGCCGTCATCTCCCCAATCCTCCCATACCTGCCTCCATCGACCTCCTTATCTACCCGCGTGTGGTGGTGCCTGTCAGGCCCGCTTTCTTTTTCTTTTCTTTTTTTTTGGTGGAGCGTATTTGTCTTGGTTCTACATTCGTCCTACTAGCGGCTCATCATGTATAGCCAGATACACTGTTGTATTCTCGTGGAGTTTAAACCTCGAGTTAGATCGTTCAACTATACCTGGGGGAAATGCTTTTTACGCACTGTGTGTGGGACTCATGATCCGCAAGAACGTCTAGCAACCTCTTTTAATACCCACTAAAGCCCCTCTGTTTGTTACCCAGTCATGCCTTAGGCTCTCGCTATCGTCTATTAATGTACCCCAGACCCGTTTGACTGATGCAAACATAGCTTTTCTTTTCTTCTCGCTTTCTGTTAGGGTCGCTACGTGCCTGTCTAACATCAAGCACCTAGGGCCTAATGTGGCGTACCACTGCCTGCCCTCTATGTTAGAAGTCGGCGGCTCGGTTGAGGTCGGACGAGGGGGTAAAGGCAATTGATACCACACGGTTGGTCCCTATGGGCACCCGGAGGCGAGTACAGACGGACGCGGGGGAGAACGAGGTGGTGGTGAAGGGCAAACGCGTGAGGCGAGTGCGGGACGAGGGACGGCGGCTATCTACATGATGACTAAGCGCTGGTACCATACGACCGAGCTTGCTATGTATGCGGGCAGATTCCAACACTCTACCCCCTTGTCACTGAGCCCGTCTCCGTTGTTCGCAATGACTCTCTCACATCTCAGTTTCCACACCAAGTATGCCAACTCAGATATCAGTATCGCTCATCTCTTCTCTGCATCATGGTTCTTCTTTCCGTTTCTCATCTTGATCTCCGCATTTCCTGCCGCCATTATCGTCCCCCACAATGGCTTCAGTCATCAGCCACCGGATGCTCTCTAGGCTTTATCAAGAAGTTTCCAGATTTCCTTTCTTCCTTTCGCTTTGCACTGGAAAAGTATGTGATCCATTGTTTCGATCGATCCGCACTTCTTGCATGTCGCGCGATCTCTTTGTTCGGGTGACATGTTTGGTCTCAGCCACTTCGCCCCTATCATGTATGTGTCATGGGTGGCCATCCACATCCATTGGGCTGCCTCTCTTGTGATCCTGTCGCGTTTTCTGATTCCTTTCCAGATGGCCGCCTCCGTCAAATATCTTCCAAAGGCCGCTTTGGCTTCTGTCTGGATTTTTTCGATCTGCCTGTTTGTGGAAGGTCTTTGTTCATATTCTCTTTCTTTGTCAGGCCCACTTTGAGTCACTGATCAGTAATTTGGCAAATGTCTGGTTGCCTGGATTGTCTGAAGAAAAAATCCAGACATTTCAGATACAAACCAGGCAGTCAGGAAACCAGGAAACTGGGGCCCAAATCACGCAGTGAACTTCACACATTAGCATTCACACATGTGACTCTCTTGACAACAGGCTCTAGCACCACAGGTTGCATGTCCACAAGAATGAACGATGGGTACCGTATTTGCGTCCACAAAACATCGGCGTCGTGAGGGCTCGGCATGTGCAAGACGAGCCGTCGTTGACACGGGAGCGGGCCGCGAACGCCAATCGGAGGAGAGGGAGGGGTGGATGGGTGTAGATGGAGGTTGGATGACCTCGAGATGTAGTGGTGCAGAGGCGTTGCCGGCACTAGGCGAAAAGCAGACGCAAACTAGAGTCACACGAGGGGTGTCTAGCCCACAAAGACCAAGTTAACATAGCTCTACAGACATACAGGCAATCGAGATACTCACCTAGCCCACAAAGACCAAGAGGTCGAGATGAGGGCTAGGACACAAAGTGCAAGTGCTAAGAGAGTCCGCGATACGGGCGCTTAAGCGCGGGAACAACCTTCCAATATAGTAAAAGGCAGGGAAAAGACGAGGAAAAGGCGAAAAATAATACATAGGGCGAGTCCAGAGTCCGTTCCACGACATTACCCCCCTCCTAAAACCCATCCGTCCCGGATGGACATGATCCTCCCCTCCTGCCAGTCTTCCTTCTCCATTTCCACCTGCTCAGGATGCTCAACCCTTCTCCACGGCAGAGCGGCGAATATAGTCGCAGATATCTTGTGAGGCGCGTTGGGATTGCGCTCGTAGAACTCTGCAACCTTCTCTGGGGCATTGGCAACATTCACCGCTGGTTCCCACGAGTCGTCCCCCTCCTACAGTAGTGATTCGCCAGGTGCATCCGTTGTGACAGCCTATCGGCAAGTGCGGATGCATCTGGTGCCGGCCGGCCCGGTTGAGCTCGACACCGCCTTCCCCAAGCGCGCTCGCGCACCCCCGGGTGCGACGCTGTCCCGAGATGTCCGGACACCGGCGCCTCAGGTGCTGCCACCTGAGCTCGCTGTCTCCGACAGTGAGCTCGCCTCCCTCTTTGTTTCACGCCACATTTTGCATATGATTAGTGATAGAAATATATTTATTAGTAAACTACTACATAGGTGCGCTAGTAAGTAATACCACGCCCCGCGACAATGCGGAGGCAGAGGCAGAGGTGGGTGATGCAGAGCAGGGCAGCACGAGGCGAAGGGTCGGGACAAGGCGGAGGTGGACGACGACGACGACGTGGGCGACGTGAACGTGGGAGACGCGGAGGCGGGTGACGCGAAGGCGGAGGAGCGACACGGAGGGCTCGCGGGGGGACGCGGTGGGCCGGGACGAGGCGGAGCAGGTGGTGGGCGACGCGGGCGGGGGTGCGCGATGCGAAGGCGGAGGAGGCGCAGAGCAGCTGGGTGACGTGCGCGCACGCGGGCGGAGGACGGGGCAGGAGGGCGACGCGGGCAGGCGGGCAGCGCGGAGGAGGCGGGCGGCGTGGAGAAGGGCAGTGCGGGGGAGGCAGGCGACGCGGGGCAGCGCAGAGGCGGAGGAGGGTGACACGGAGGAGCGCGGTGTGGACAGGGGCGTTGACGCAGGCGGAGGATGGCGACGCGGAGGAGGGCGGCGCAGGGGTGCGCAAGCGGAGGAGGGCAAGGAGGAAGGCGACGCAGAGGTGGGCGACGTAGAGGAGGGCGGTGCAGGCGGGAGACCCGGGCGGAGGACAGCGGCGCGGAGGAGGGGGACGGCGGCTTGGAGGGCCGGGAGGAGGAGTACGTCCGGGCGGACGTCCTCGGCCTGTGGTAGTTGTCGCCGGGCGGGAGGGGGAATTGGTGGGTGTTGGGAATGCAGGAGGGCAGAGCGAAGGACTCACCAAAACAAGGGACACGGCACGTCGCCGCGGCCCCTATATCCTCATCTCCATACTTCGGACGTCCGTACGGACGTCCTCATGCGGTGTGTTTGTCGTGAGTGCGGTTGGGAAGGTGGGTATAGAGTGGGATCGAGGTTGAGGTTGAGGTCGAGGGAGGAGGTCGAGGTTGAGGTCGAGGGAGGGAAGGAGGAGTCACCTGGTGACACCAAAGTCCAATAACAGACGACAGTCGACCGTATGGTCGCTATCGTCTGCCTGGGCAGAGCGGGGAGGGGGTAGCGAGGGTAGCGGAGGGGAGCAAGGACGGTGAAGGGGAGGGACGTGTGGCGTGCATCACAGCCACGCGTCAATGCGCACCACGCGTCCTTGCCGCCCACCGAGGCGCGTCTCCACGGGCGCGCATCACGGATCGCCAGATCTGTCCAGATGCATCCGTAGCTGCCGATAGGCTATCGCAACAGATGTACCAGGGAAATCACCTGTGCTCCCCCCTCTCCGTATCCCTTTCACCACACCTGGAACTGAAGCCGGCGGTTGAAGAACCGACTGTCCAGAATCCTCTCCACCTCATATTCCTCCTCTCCGTCCACTTCCACCGGCTCTGGTGGTGGTGCTCGTCGTCCGTTCACCTCGTTCCCTCCATACTTGGACAGCTGGTCCACATGTACAACCGGGTGAATCTTGAGTGTGGGTGGGAGTTCGAGACGATAGGCTAGGTCACCCACGCGTTCGACCACCTTGTAGGGTCCCAGCTGCCAGACACCGAGCTTGCGCGTTGCCTGGTGCACACTGATGTCTTTTGCACTAAGCCAGACCTTGTCTCCGACTTCGAACACCTTCTGATCACGAGGGTGTTCCTCTGCGAAGTGGACCTTCATCTTCGCCTTGCCTGCGCGCAGCACTGATTTGATGTCCTTCTGTGCTTGGCACATGCCACATGCCCTCTAGACGATCCTCGAGATGAGGGAAGCGAGTCTCTGTTCCCACTGGTACCGTGAAGTCTGGCTTGTACCCGTACATGACCTCGAAGAGTGTGTGGTTGTGCGCAGAGTGGATTCAGCTGTTCAGCGCGAACTCGGCCGTTGGCAGATAGCGTACCCAGTCGTCTTGCCGTTTGCGTACGAACAGGTGCAAGTGCTGCTCTACTTCCTGGTTCGTTCGCTCGGTCTGTCCGTTAGACTGAGGGTGGTACGCGGTGGTGAGCGCATGTTCAATGCCGAGTTTGCCATAGAGTTCGTGCATGACGCGAGCAGCGAACTGGGGACCACGGTCCGACACGATGCTCCGAGGGACACCATGTAGGCGGAAGATTTCGCAGTAGTGCAGATCGGCAATGCCAGCAGCGTCGACGCTGTTGCGCGTGGGGAGGACGTGACACTGTTTACTGTAGTGGTCGACGTACACCGCGATGGCGTTAAACCCTTCGCACTCCAGGAGTCCAGTGACCAGGTCTACTCCCACCACCTTCCAGGGGGCCTCAGGGATGTCGTCCAGATGCAAGCTGGAGCGTGGATGTGGAGCTGGCTTGTAGCGTTGACAGCGCTTGCAGCCTGCGACGTACTTGGCCACGAAGAGCGCCATCCCAGGCCACCAGTAGTGTCGGCTGACAAGCTCAAGGGTGCTGCTGCGTCCAGGGTGTCCAGCTGTGACCGAGTCATGGCATCGCCGAAGAACCTCTCGTCTGAGCTCTGGGTTGGCCGGCACGTATAGACGATCTTCGTGATACACCAGGCCCCCGTGCTCTTCCCACTCGGCCACTCCACTTGCCACCTTGCGAGGTGGCGCTGCGAGCCCACTTCTAACCTCCACTTCGCGCTTGGTGCACTCGCGGATGCGTTGCTCAAGCAGATCGGTGTCGCTGCAGATGGTTGCAGCTAGCTGAGCGAACCGTTCTGGCTTGAGTATGACCTGCTCCTGGTTGTCCTCCGCGTCCGTGACCTGATGAGTGGGGAGACGCGAGAGAGGATCTGCCTGCATGTTCGTCTTCCCAGGCTTGTGGGTGAGGATGAAGTCGAAGCGTGCCAACCAGATTGACCATCGCGATTGCCGCCGTGAGAGATGCTGAGCAGTACGCCAGTACTTGAGGTTCCAATGATCCGTGATGATCTCGAAGGGATCAGGAAGGCCCTCAAGATAGTGGCGCCAGTCCTCCAGTGCTCGGATGATCCCCAAGAGCTCTCGGTCGTAGATCTCGTAGTTTCGCTCAGCATCCGACGAGCCGCCTCAGTACAGGTTATGCATAAATCCCTGTTAGAGCGCCCCGGGTTTATGCATACCGTACCTTATGCATACACAGATATATGCATAAACATTGAAGTATGCATACAACTGTAAGAGCGTCAATATCCGTAAACAAAAGGACAGCTGCGTGAATCGAACCCACAGCCTCTTGACATTGTACACATACGACACAACAGACCACTACACCAATGTTCCATGCTGTTTGTGCGTTGCTTACAGTAGATATACTCTCTTCAATACTGACATAAACACAAGGCTTTTGTTGAACTTGTCGTTCATCACAGTCCAGTCATACTTCTCAACACTGCTTGCATACTCACCCTCTCCTCGGGATGCCTACCTATGTCTAAGATTGTGTTTATACATACATCCGGTTTATGCATACACCCCGTTTATGCATACAACGTGTTCATGCATACGGCTGGTTTATGCATACAGCCGGTTTATGCATACAGCCCGATTATGCATACGGCTGGCTTATGCATACAGCCCGATTATGCATACGGCTGGCTTATGCATACAGCCGGTTTATGCATGCGGCGTGATTATGCATACGGCGCATTTATGCATACAGCGCATTTATGCATATGTCCCGTTTATGCATAAACACTTCATATGGGTAAACACAGCGTGTATTGGTGGGGCAAGATGACAGTGATGTACCGTCAACTCCAGGTCCGAGTCCATGGGGGTGAAGGCGAGATAGTGGGCTGGTGTAAGCGTAGAAATGAGGAATCCGGGGTGAAGCAAGATTTGCGGGGAAAGCGAACGCGAAGAGAGTTGGATCGCG